TTTTTTTTTTTTTTTTTTTTTTTTTTTTTTGCTATGAACACTCCAGACTGAGAAACAAGCTTTTTATGATTGAATAAAATAACGTACTCCTGCCAGTTCGTTCAGAAAAAATGGTACAAAATTAATACCTTGATATCGTGCATATTATACAGTGTGAATTAGTAACATTAGCAATATAGATCATCCGAAATAGCTGATGCCGTTTTTGTTATCAAAATATTGTTCCCTCCCCCTACCTAGTTGTGTGCTACAACTGGAGAAATACTCCCACAATGTAGGCCTATACAGTGCCCTTGGTAGCTTGATAGATTGGCTTGGAAATGGACAGAAACCCCCAAACAATAATTTAATCTAGGCTGTTAGAGTAGTGTGAAGGCTATTCGTGTTTTGACGTCTTTTAGCTGCACCTAATCTACAAATTGTTAAGAATGCGACAGACACTTGACTGGACGGAATGTTGGGATACTTGCACTGCAGTTTTGTGCAGCCCCTCCCTTTCTTTCTTTCAAGATCTGCAAACACTATCCCAAGAGCACACTTCGGCACAGCACTCTTGCTACGTGTAGCAGAGGTGCTTCTTTCTTACCTTTGCCGGTAGATTCCATCCGTGAGGCGGTGTTTACGGTGTCCCCGAAGAGACAATACCGAGGCATCTTGATTCCAGCAACTCCAGCCACACACGACCCTACATATGCAAAACATCATCGAAAAAAGATCCAGTTACACGACAATGGTGTTATCGACACACTTTGACCTATAAGTCGATAAGACTATAACAAATCATTGCCAAGATGGTCGCACTTTTCCTTGTCAACACTGTCCAAAATAACACTTCAAGTTTTGAGTTTTACTGTTTCCTAATTAATGTCTGCATTCGGTTTAGGAGTTGCTGATTACAAGGCACGTTGCACTATGCACGTAGGCCTAATCAATGTTATGTCACAGTTTCCTATTACCAGAATGCAAGCCGACTCTCAGACCGAGTTTCTCCGTAGGCAGGTGTGGGATCTGGAACAACTGGACCTCCCTTAGCAGGTCCAGCGCCATACAGGCGATCTCACAGGCATGGTGTTCAGCAGGTTCGGGCAGACCCGAGGCCACCATGTAGGCGTCGCCTATCGTCTCCACCTTGTACACGTCGTACATGTCGATACAGTTGTCGAACATGCTGTAGGAGAACAAACTATTTTCGATCAAGCAGTTTTTGAAACAAAAGACAAAACACTGCTCCAAAAGAATTGTCCGTGAAGCGTGAAGTTCTGCGGTGAGTGCATTACTGTTTGATAGACTGACTTTCAACAATTTGACACGAAGGGCCAGACGCACTTTTGAAGTGTATTTGGAAACGGCATGTATTAGGGACTTTCATTAATTTTGGCCTCTTGTTTTGACTAGTCTTGCTCTTTTACAACGGAATATTTGTGCCACCACACAAGACGAGTATTGGCACCCATCACTGCGTGATAGAATTTCTCTGCTGCGTTTTAATCACTAAATTATAGAATTTCTCGGCTGCATTTTAATCATTAAATTATAGAATTTCTTGGCTGCATTATATTCACTAAATTAATCACCGGCCTTCAATTACGCGTGTAAGTTAATAGCGTGTAAGGGGACACACGTAATGTTACAAGTGATAAAGGTTATATGACCGTATCAGCGGGTACAGTAGCCGTTGCAGGCATGTTAGCCTTTTAAGGGTGGTCGGAAGCATAAGTACTATAATGACATTATCTCAAGCAGAGGCTGGTATAATCATAAAGCACCTTCAAAATACGAAACTCCAGCAGGTGTCATCGTGTTTCAGGCGTTTGGTCCGTCCTCATCTTATAAAACAAAATCTGGGGATTGATCGCTCTTACTGGATGGAATTCATTTGATTAGACTGAGAATTTCGGAGACATCTTCGATTATGAACTAGGAAAGCTGGCCTGATTATTGATCATTTTGTTAGTGAAAAGTTTAGTTACGTTGATGGCACTGTGTATAAGACTTGGAATCTACTTTTCCTTTGAAAAAAATACATCACAAATCTTAAACTTTGTGGTGGTCAGTACATCGCAAGTGACTGAAGAGACAGAACACTGCTTATGGTACCTGGTTTTTTTAATTCGTTGTTCATAACAGAGTAATACGGGCGATTTACAATAGTGCGCCTCCAAGAGTTTGCAACGCGTTAACCAATCAGAAGGCACAAAGCCTGTCGACCCTTTTCAACCGCGCATTAGGTCGACAGCTTTCGTGCACTGTGATTGGTCAACGAATTGCAAACTCTTGGAGGCGCACTATTGTGAAAAGGCCACATAAAAGGGTGCACCCACTTAAATGGGCCAGAAACATGTTTGCCAAGCTCATTAATAAAAGTTAGACACCCAAATTATTCTATATTAGAGTGTCCTGAGAACCATGGAATTGGGAAATTTCTCAAATTCATTGGTCAATCCACTCAAATTGGGAGGAAAATGAAAGAGGGTATGGCGAACACTGTTTTTCTGCCCAACCTGAAGACCTGTGAGAGTTGTGAGTATTTTTTTAAAGTATAGGGATTTATCACTGCTGTCTATGCGAATTTATTTGCTGCGGTGCACCCTAAAGCAATACAGTGTAATATCCTCCATCTTGAACGCCGCTATACCGACCAGTCGGGCATTCCGAACATGTCCCTTTGCTGTGCAATTTCACCTTATATCAAAAATCTACTTTGAATACGGTAAGAGAAACAAAGCTAGGACTGACAATAACGACTCAAGAGTTTAAGGAAAATATTACTCACGAAGGGACAACACGCAGCACTGTTCCAATCGTTCGTTGATAGGCCTGCTATGGGTGCGTGGTGCACGGGTTGGTCAAATAGACCGGCCACCATTTTCACCATGAAAGAAAATCATCCAAACGGGAAATGCACATGCAGATTGGCAGATTAACTTTTCGTCTTAACTTACAGAAATCGTTGTTTTTTAACACAGCCTACCGACTTACGTTGCTGATGTCCGCCCAGTGCTAAAGAAAAGTTCCGAGCCCATCTGATCACAGTTTCAATTTAGCGGCAGGAGCCAGCGTAACCGCAATTCATATCGCTCGCTATTTTTGAGCCATGACCAAAAGGGAAACTCATAGGAAACTTCAATGTAAAAACCCAACGCCTATTATAAACGCGTCTTTGCGTTAATGGTCAACATGTAACCGTTTAAAATTAAACACCTTTACTGAATAAACGTGTTTTGGTGTCTTTGTTTAGAAAATAAACGCATCAACGTTTTTAAGAATCGGTTTGTTTAAACTACGACGCGTTCACAAAGTGTTACAGGGAAGGTTAACATTAACACTTGCTTTTACAGCGTTGATTTCATTTCGTAATTTGACTTCTATTGAAACCCCACGAAAGGTAATTTCGATGTGATGTGTTTAATTAAAGCTTGGTATCTTGCATTGAAGTGTTTGCCCAAAATCATCATCCAGAAACATTCCTCAGGCAGATCGCCACACGTTTGAATGTACCAGAGGAAGTAACGGGTGCATCGACTGTATAAAAGTACCAAAACGTGACGTCATTTTGAACAAGAAAGTGCAGTGCAAAATAATGAATGTAGAACGCACGCGCTGATTCTCGCGCTAGTGTCGTTTACGCACATAATTGTGCGCGTGACATAATCACTTCGATACTTTATCTGCTCCGAGCTGGGACAAAAGAGGGCGTGTTTTGAAATGAAATCGACAGTCTTTTGATACGCACTCACCGCATAGGCGCAAAAGTTTATGCGCGTTTGACGCGGAGCACGCTGAGTAAGGACGACAAATTTAGTCTGAAATGTATGGTCTTCTCGTGCACGTCGAACGCATGTAAGAACTCGATCGTTTCGAAAACAGTATCGTCTGTATTTCTTTTGCCGGTGAGGGTACACTTCCGCTCAGGGCGGATACCTAATAATTGCTACAACCAAACAATTGCTACATCCAAACGTTTTTAAGCAGACCCAGTCAAGTACGTTATAGAGGATTTTCAGTCCCGTGATTTTTGAAGGTCAGCGTTCAATTTACACAGATGTGCGCTGGACGCGCACGCTTTCGAAGTCTGTAAACATTCTTGCGTACATGAATATGCCAATAGCCAATTCAATTGCCAACCCGGATGCGATAATGCACGGGCCTCCACTGACATGCTGTACGCTTTCTGGAGCGCCTTTTCCCGTCATATGACGTCACTTGAAAAACCTTTATAACAGCGTTGTACAGTATGCTTAGCAATTAAACAACGGGTTTTTGTGGTTCTAGATCTTAATAAAAAAGGAAAAAATCCAGCTCATTTGACACCTGAGAAGGCTTCACGAAAAGGTGGAGAGCGCTTGAAATGTTCTCCTTGATGTGGCCTTACCTGTAAAGTTCATTCAGCAAAGTCACCACTTGCATTGGTGTACTTCGCGCTGCCAAGTTGGTGAACTCGACGATGTCACTGAAGTAGATGGTGACATTTTCGAACTCCTCAGCAATCATCTCTTTCTTCTGCCTCAGCTGGTCGACCACGCTGCGAGGCATCATCTGGTAAAGCAACTTCTCCGTCGTCCGTTTCTCCGCTGCCAACTCCTTAGTCTTCTTGTCCAGATTGTGGGCGTGCCGGCCGATCGTGCCCAAGAGTCGTTTGGCCTGTAAGAGCTGGATAACCCCAAGGGACAGTGAGACACTCACAGTCACCACCAGCACGGAAACGTTGACCACGACCGCCTGCACTGCACCCGCTTTGATTACTTCAATGTCATCGCGAATGTACCTGGTCTCCTTGTCTATAACCTTGGCCAGAATATTCACAAAAATGGTCATGTTATTGAACCAGTACTCGGACAGTCGCACGCCTTCGTCTTTGCCGTGGCTCTCGCAAGGGTTTGCCCCGCGAATAATTTCTTCGCGCATGGTATCGATGTGCGACTCGGCCGGATCCTCGGACCGTACAAGATCCTCGTACAAAGCGGCCGCCCGGTCAGAGTACGCAAACGCAGTTTTAATCTGCAACTGGCTGGTGGACAGGACATTCCGAAACCAGTCGAGGTTCTTGGGACTCAAGGAGCAACCTGCGAAGAAACTGCCGCCAAGAGCGCGCTGAATTCCGAAAAGATCCGACACCTGGAGGAGACCGTCTTTCGCCACAATTCGAGGCCATAAAGTTCCCTCTTTCAGATTTGCACTCTGGGTGAGCGAGTCGTTCAGTAGTTGGCTGTTGATGGCTGTGTAGAACCTGATGACATTGGCAACCGTTATCACGTCATTCATAACATCTACTGTTTCGCGGTAAGCGTTCAGAGCAGAGAGAAGGCCTTTCTTAGTGGAGAAAATCTCACCCGAAACGTTGAGCATTGGTAGAGTCTCCAGCTTGTCCACGGCCTGATCAGTTAGAGACCGCTTCTCAAACAACTCTCTAGTGAGCCTCTCACCAGTCAGATTTCCACTCACTCGGGTGGCCGTCAAGCCACGCTCCACCTGCATAGTAAGTATTAGGTCGGTCATGCGATCGCCAGCGTCGATAGCCACCACGGTGACTTCGGAGTAGTGTAGTTGGGTCACGGTGGTGGCAAGAGCGAGGCAAGACATGACTGTCAGGGCCACGAGTGGGATGACAATCACCCCTAACATTTTGGCCATGTCCTTGCCGCTACTGTGGGAATCCGTAGCCTTCTCCAGGACCATTTTCATCTGGAGTTTCTCCACTCCCAACGTACTCACGGATCCGCGGCTGATGCCGTCAGTGTTGTCGCGTAGACGGTGCTCAAGATCCCGTGCGCTCCCAGGAGCGTCTTGCAGGGGAGCTATTTTTCTCGACGGTGTCATCATCATTTTACTGCAGTGCTGAAAACCTGACGGGTGCTGAATGTATTCACCACTTGGATTAACTGAGCGATCTTAACGCTTCTAGATCGGAAATGATTGTGCTTTGCTATATGTACTTGCACAAGATGAAATATGCACATCGCCTACTCAGGTGCATAAATACGCATGACCTGTGGGGGCGTTCTCAACATACATGTACATGTATAATGGTAGAGTCCGTGAATCGAACACTTCCGTAAAACTTTATCCCCACGGGCGTTACTTCATTTCAATAGCATTTCAATGGCTTCCAACAGTAACACTGGATAGGACGCTTCTTCCTGTATCCTGATTCGGGGAGCAATAGGAAAGAAACAATATTAACGTGTATTTGGTATTTATAATTTTAACGTATATTGCGTGTTTTAAAGTTTGCTGTGAATCATTACGTCTCGTTGCTCTTCCAAACAATTCCCTCTTTTTCCATTTTGGAAGACACTCAAAGTTGAGTTTCTATCTCTTTTCAAAGAGATAGAAAGGGGTTACTCTTCAGCATGGTTCAGGGCACTGCACTCTTTTTGAAATCAACTTGTAAATGTGAAATGTGCATTTATTATTCGATTTAGGTTTAGTTATCAGACGAGAAAGTGGCACAGGCTCAGTTTTTATTGCTCCAAAAGCGAACAAAATGAACTGCGGAATCTTTGAGCTCAGAGTGTCCTGTAGAAAACCACATCAGTTAGAAAAGAAGCTCCCTTATATTTTATTTTAAAAATGGAGAGTCTTTGATAGCATAATTTTTAGGACACACATAGCTCGTACTAGGAGATTAACGATATTTCGTAAAAGGTTTCCCCATCACCAAATCTTCTACTAAATCTGAATCACTTGTTATCGAACTTGGGCGATTTAATATCAGTGTTATTAAATTCCTGAATTCCTTGACGTTTCTCAAACATATTTAAAAATGATAAGTGATACTGAAATTAATTTTGCACTTGTAATCACAAAAATCAAGTTGAAGCTGAAAGCCGACCAGGTAAATAAGGCTATGTGGACCTGCAGCCATTTCTAAGGTAACATTTAATTAGCAGTCAATACGCATAAACCATGCACACACCATACCAAGCAAACAAAGTAGCCCGGAATACGTACAGTTTTGTTTTTGTTTTAACCTATAAACATGTTCCAATACTGAGGTGAAAATCCTCCCGGATTAAAGAGGATCCTACATAATTAACCCAGGTTGGCGGAGCAACGAAAGGACACGTGTCACACTCCGTTACAAGCGTAATGATATCCCAACAATCGTCATGGTAACCGCCTCAAATGATGCAATCATCGGACCGGGAAGAGCCGAGTCGGGTGTTAAGAAAATGCTATATATTTCCGGCGATATAGAGAGTACCTGCCGAAGAAATCGCAGTAACCACGTATGTTGTTAGTTGCTCAGACATCAAGATGTGTTTGATGAAGTCTGTAGTGAGCTGTTATCAGGATATAAGTTAATATTAATCTGCAGGAAGAAAAATGTGAATACATCAGCGAGAGCAATCATTGTACTTAACCCGATGAAACGTGACACATGCTGCCATTGCGACGTCCTGTTTTTGGTGAACGAAGGGTTTTCCCTCTTATATTTTATGATGTATAATATTGATCCTTCCACAGATCACAATCTTTTCAAGGGCTTCACTCTTGAAGCAAATCTATAAGTCCTTGAAATATTTGATTGGGTAAATTGCTCATGATGAGGCCAGAATGTCATCAGTGTTGTGACGGTGTGTCATTCTTGCAACAAAGCACACGTACACCACCAATTGCGTTACGTTCACGCACGAGTGACTCATCGCTGTTCACTCCTCAAACATTTGTTTTCCTTCCTCTAGATTTCATATCTTGATTGCAATTGAAATTACCCCAATTATTCAAATTGACAAAAAGAAAATACAGTTTCGATTTTTCTCTATTATAATATTCAGTTTCAAGTCCCAAATGTTGTGTCAAAACGTAACAAAAACGAAACTTCAGGACTGTAATGAAAGCCATGTAGTCCTTCAGGCATCACTTCCCCAATAACTCGTGCTGAAATACCTCAATTTCTGTCTCCTTTGGCTGTAACTGGAAGAAATTACTTCCCAACGGTTACTCCTACTACAAATGTTCTGTACACTAAGTCATGCGCAATATGATCAATGGATCCGTGTTTCGTGAGGTCCGAATTTATGTACATCAGCGAGTGAGTGAGAATCAGCTTTAAGAAGGCTTGGAAAGTGGTGCATGTATTGTGTAAATACAGTCGAGACATTTAAAGATTTGCTAGTAGTTTCCTGGGTAACTTCAGTGGCGTAACTACGGGGGGGGAGTCCCGTGCCCCCCTTTGAAATTTTGAAATGGACAAAAAATATATATACCTAGTTTAATTATTTTCAGTGCCCCCTGAAAAAAAAATTGTGCACCCCCAGGTGCCCCCTCAGCTGTAGCATCCCAGTTACGCCACTGCGAAGACACGTCTTGCATTTGTCCGATTTAACATCCCAGGCGTCCACCTTTATGCCATCCTTGACATGTCTTTTGTTGGTGACGTTAAAAAATGTCTTAATTACTTTTTTGCCGTGGAAACCTATGTAGAGATGGACGCAATCAAATTACCGATTCTCTTCGCATACATTCTCCATTACAGAATTACCGGCTCTGCATTCAAGCAAGTGCTAAATTAAGTTAAATAAATAGGAAAAGTAAAGTAACCCTGTGCACTTTGCATTTCAATGAAAGAACCGCGTGATAGGAGCCTACGTCGGAAAAGACTCTTTGGAGCTAGTACTAGTAATTTATGTAGTGCGACACCTGGTAGGGAGTAAAAAGTATTAGTTTAGCAGTTACCGGTGATGAAAGATCGTACCATGAGAGTATTGCGCTTGTTTATTTCTCACTCAACCTAAATGATAAGAGACATAAAAAGAAATTTTTAAAATCTGATCAGAAACCTGTTTTTTTGTCTGTGACTTCGGGGCGCATGACTTGCCATTGTTGCCTTTTCATGTAATGGGAATGGACGCAGCCTTGCTCGTGGCTGAAATCCATCATGGGTTTACTGTCTTTCCCACTTTCACTTCACACCTCGGGGGTTGTTTTCAGTTTCTCGGCTATTTACGCAGTCTACTGTAATTCTGGTGAAAGGCCACTTATATGACTGATTGCTTAGAAATCTCATTATTTTTATTCATGGCCTGGAGTTGCTCACTCCCGCAAGTCTGTATGCTTGATTTTCGAACCGTGTGTCCCGCATGGTTTTCGTGCAGCGTTTTTCATGGTGCATGATACAACTTTGGAAAATCTCATACGTTGGTTTAGGCCTTGTTTGAAAGAATGGTGTGCAAAGTCTTTACTTATTCAAGGCATTCGCCAATCTTCGGCTTTGTCTGAGACGGTGGCTGTGGACCATCCCTTACGGAAATATTTGTCTGGATACCAGATTCATCGATTTCGACTATTGTCGTCAAATCAAGAGTCCGCTATCCCCCAATGTCCACTTGACAAAAGCAGGAGGAATTCCTTTAGTTTCCCTAAATAGCCGAAATACGAACTTGTCCCGTCCACATTCGGTAGGCATCGTTGACGTTCGGGTATTTCCGGCCTTGTCTGTACGCATAATGAGATTATTTTTTCTTTTGCTTGTTGCCCACATTCAACACAATGTTGCTCCCTCCCTTCGCATTTCTTGAAGTTTCTTACGTGTTTGCAAAGTGAACGCCAACATCAACAGCCTGCATGTATATCTAAACATAGGATCTACCTAGGACTTTTCTTGTGACCCTTGACACATTGCGTCGTGATCTATCTATATTCGTGGGTGATACCTGACGTAAGACTTTGTCACGTCGTCAGGGAACCTTTGGTCAGGAAACCCGACTAAATGAAATACAGGACCCTAATTAGACCGTGTTTGAATCTACTTGTTATGGCCAGGACTAACTCGTGTGTGATAATCAGTATGAAATACGTATGAGGCTCGAAGTAAAACTGCGTGGTTAAATCACAACTTCGCATGGTAATTACACCCCACACACTGTAACTAATGTGCATTTCACATTAATGTGCTCATGAATACAAACATAGGTTTTGTATATGAAATAATGTATCCCACACCTGCACCATTTCCAATGATCTCTATATGGGAGGTGGCTTGCAGTCGGTGACACTGCAACTTAGTGGCTTTCATAGACACGTGTGTTATTTCTAGTTGCATGCAGCGAGACTTTTCTGGCACTGCCTTTTAAGCCCGTATCTCACTGGGCTGCGGCATGACAGCTGGCGACTAGTTGCAGACACAAAATTGCGTTAAAATCCGAGAAACTAATGACAATTTTTCACTTGGGTTCCCACTTATTTGGTGCTTACGACACATTTGCGTATACCGCACGAGCTCCCGGCTCAATTTTGGCCAGACGTTGGCTGAAGTTCACATGGAGGCCTACACGTCGTGCGACTGCAGCACGACATAATTCGCGCCGGTTTGGAGGCCTGGAATATCAGATTCTCATTTTTGACTTTAACCAGTCACAGTTTTGTTTCATAGGTCGCCAGCCCCCACCGTGACAGTTGTCGCAAATTTCTCCCGCTTTCTGACTCACGGAAACTAAATTGAGAAAGTTTGATTCAGGTTTGAGACATCCGCGACCACTCTGTGACTATTTTGAGAGAAAATTTGTCCCCAATTTTTTTTTGAACATGTTCAAAATTACCGCGATACGAAAGCGAGACCCTGCGATTCAAGCAAGGAAATTGAGAACCCCTGCGAACGTTTCAATACATTTTGGAAACTCTTTCGGGAAGGCTGATAGCAATTTGTAGTCATCAGTCGCAGCCCAGTGAGATACTGGCTATAGGCTTCCCTTGGGTCCTTTTTGCTACATGAAAGGATTGCCAATGGCCCAGGACAGAGCTGTTTACAGAGAGAGTTGCGACATGAGTGTCTCAATTGTTGGGACCAAAATGGCACAGTGTATTGCGCACATAATGACAGCCATTTGGGTTCCAAGTGTGAAGTTGGTGCTACTTTCTCTTTAAACAGCTCTGGTCCAAGGTAAGGAAGGACGTTGATGGCGAGGGCAGAAAGGGCATTTCAAATCATCCGGAGTTTGCGTGCAGTAAATCTAAAACATAATGATATCACGCTTTGTACAAAGGTTCGCTTTCTTAAGGAGGCACGACGGATCGTTTCCTACATGCCATAGGAAAGCTTGACGTTATTCAAAAAAGGTCTATATTGGCATTCATCGAATCGTACAATTTTGTGACTTTGCTCGCTAAATGCCCCTGTAATCTAATTTCCTTGGAGAAGAGATTAACATGGGCATGATTTTCACCTTTTTTTCTACGGTGACCTTGTTAATTTTTCACTGGTGTATTGGGGGAGTATGTCGAGTATAAGACGAACTAGGGGCCTCTTCCTGGGGACTCTGCTTTTCACAACATTTTGCGAAGAACCAGTCACGTTAGACACAGCGGGCAGGCACTGTAAAACGGCCTTTCGTAGAACTTCACAAGAGGAATAGATTTGACCGGGGGGGGAGATCCTACCTTTTGAGGGGGATTTTCCCCATTGACTTCTAAACGACTAAAATGTGTTCAATATCACTCAGAAAAGGAAACAACCAATCGAAAAACATCAATATGCCATTCTGATCTAAGAATTTTCATGAATGTAATGCATATTGCAGATGTTCATTGATATCATGACCATCGTTGCTCCCTATAATATAGTCTCTGGTATGGTGTCAGCCACCCCCCCGCTTTTAAATTTTCCATGGCCGGGTAAATCATACCCCCCCCCACACACACACACACAAATCCCCATCCACCCAATATCTGGCACAAATTTACGACACAGGATTTGAAGGCTAGAAAAAATGCTTTTTAATTTACTTATTTCATGCATCTCGTTGCCAAACGGTCAAATTTAATGTACATGTATGCTAAAATACGAACATTCATACTACACGGGAGAAGTTTAGAGCAGGAAATCGTGTTATTCCGTCAGAACAAGGAAGAAGCCATCGAGGTCGCAGGGGAGCAACTTGGCGTCAAACATCGCATTGCTACAGGCATCTTGAAACCAAGACTGCAAGAAAATTGAAAAATCTATTTTTACCATATATACTTTGAAGGCCAAATCAAGATTATATCTTTCGCGATTGATATTTAGCTATTTTTAAAACATTAGTGATAGCATTGTAACTTCTGATGACACCATCAGCTTGAATCTTTAAGCAGTTACAGCAAAGTTCGCCACACACATCATCTGAAAAGGCATATAAAGAAATATTAGTCAACTTGCCGCCAGAGGGCACTCGAGTATTTTATGACGTCCCCGGTTGCACTCTTGAACAACATTATCTTTCCAGGAACTAACACCGTGAGAAGCAAATTTACATCTTTTATCAATTAAACAAATAAGCCTTTGCCGGTTTCGACCGGAAGCAAGGCTCGGGTGATTTTACGCTCGAGTCACAAAATGACAACCTAAATCTACTGTGCATTTAAGTTGCCCCAGAAAGCGAGACCGGGTATGTTATAATCTATTTTACATTTTCAGCGATTGAAAATACGTGTATGGAAGTTTAACTGTTTGTAATTTGACACGTGATAACGTCATCATGACGTGACATCAACCTCATAGGGACATCTTGGGATCTGGGTTGACAGTCACACCAACTTTCAAGTTCATCCATTGTTGAAAATGGTCTGGAGAATTTTTGTCGGGAAAACAGACGGAGAGGAGAAAGATGGAATCCTGCGCTAACACTATATGAAAATTATATACAGAATAAACATACTCTAAAATATCGAAACATGAGACAGAAAAAACACAATCATATCACAACAACACGCTTCATACTTAAAACTATCTCTGTCTCTTTGTATCTCTTCCGATGTTTCCCAAGCAATCACCACGGAGGATGAACAGTCATCCCACGAAATCAAATTGAAGCAAATCTTCACCACTCGGTAAAATTATGGTGAAATGCATTCGAATGTGTATTTTGCGGACCTGTATGGATTTGCAAATCGATTTTCCCAGCCCCTTTGTCCCATCGCCGTAAATGCGATAGCAATTTCACGGTGCACGTAGCAGAATGTGATGCTCAAGCTGCCTTCCGCCATTACAATTTTTCGCGCATGCGAAGAACAAAACAACCATGACAAGTAGCCGCTTGGTGAAATAACCGTACGTCTTTCAAGTGCCGACGTCTGAATGGTAATTAATTGCATTAAACTATAGAGTGGTAAGGATTTGCCTTCGAAAGCCATTACCGTAACAAAGAATTGAACCGCATTGATGGCCGCCAGATTTTGGGAGAAACTATGCGTTATAATTCTGAACTGACGGACACGGTTGTATGGTATTGACGTGCGACTTTGTTGGTGCGACTTTGGCTTGCGCCTTATTCTGGACTTGAAAACTTTTATTCACAGGGGAAAATACCTCAAACCACACGCTGGAAACATGTTTACGCTAAGTATGTTATAGGGACACGAGCGTCGCTAGAGGGGGATAGGGGTGTCGGGGGTGTCACACCCCATTGGTTACTTTTGTCGGCAAAATTAAAAAAACACGAAGAACGGAGAATGAAGACAAAGGAAGGGGATACAGGTAACACTCGCTTTGCGTTACGGTACGACGGCACATTTCATTTGGCACCCCCATTCAAAATGGTCTAGCGACGCCCATGTGTAAGATATAGCCCAAGATAAGGTCCCTATAATATTGTAAACTTTAAAGTGTGGTCGAGGATGCTACCTCAGGGTCGCTGGATTCATCCTCTAACCGACTATCAAGAAGTGGGCAACTGAAGTAGAACAAAACCGTTCAATAAAACTGATCTTGCGCAATCAATGGTGGGGTGGAGTAGTCGATATTTAGCTTCAAACAAACATCTCTCTTCTTGTACGATAATTTTCTCATTTACAGTTCACCATTCTATTCCTTTAATTAGATGTAAGTTTCCCACGAAGTCTCCAAATGTTGGGACTTGTAGACAATACAATAATAATACGTTGGTTTTTCATAGCAAGTAGGGTTGGAGGTTTCTAGAATACCTGATAGTTTTCACACTTCTTATCCGCTTATGTTTGGAGTCTACGAGGCTTTCGCTCATTTGTATGGTTTCTTCACCTTCCAACCTCAACACGGATTCTAATCCCTCTCCATTCTACAATTTAAACGTTTCCAATCCTCTTGAAGAGATTTCTTCAACGGTTTTTCAGCGTTATACTTTTATTAGTGTAAATCTTATGATAAAAAAGACGTTACGTTAGCGCTGTACATCCGCCATGGCCGCCAAAATATGACTTTCCTACATAAAATTTTTCCTTGCACCAAAACCACGTTATCAGCAATGTCGTACCTTCCTTAATAGACCTGTAACAAAGACTTCACGCTTGGTGGTTTACAGGCATGCTTTCCTATGGGGGTAGTGGGACGCGACATGATCCATCGAGCCCCCATTATAGCAAAACGCACGTGACAAGGTGCGATATCAATGTCTTAGAACAGTTGATTCTTGTCTAATTTTTGCTCAGCACACAGCTTAGCTTGTCAACGTTTCTGTTTACCAGCTCTGTAGGGTCTGTCCCTGAGCGGGAGTGGGGAGTGCGTCACTCGCTCTTCTGGCAAGTAATCGTTCTCGGCTGTTCGTCGCGACACTCTATCAGCACAGTCTAAAATGAAAATGCTGTTTGTGGCGAAGGTGAAGCACCCGTCTGAATCTTTCGATCACCTCCGGCATTATGCATTGTAGCAGGAAAACGTGATCCAGTGAAAATTCACCTTGAAACTTAATCTACCTGAAACCGGAATCATTTGTAAACTTGCATGATGGCCACAAGATGATAACTTTCAAATGAGATTGCTATGAAAAAAATTGTTTTGACAATGGCATTTTTTATGTAACGTTAATCATCCGGCCTCGGAACCCGAGATTTATAGAGCCTGAAAGTTGACCCCTGATGGCGCACTTCCGGAACCCTCGGATAAGAAATCCAACGTGCAAAGATTTAAGAATTTGTAATATTTTTTCGTTTAGTTACTTCTTTAAAAACCCAACTCGATAAAGGGGCTTTGGAAAATATTTGCCAGTATATCAATTTATAGAAACAGAAAAGTCACCTGACCTAAAAGAGAAATAGGCATATCCTGCCAAAAACTTACCCATCACTTCCAAAATTCTAAAATACATGAAGAACAGTCCAATGCGGCGCGGCGGGCTCGTATCGTAGACAAAATCTACGGTTTGGAATTCTATGGTAGTCTGTCGGTGAAAGCCGAAATAAAACTGATCAAAATTTTTACACACTTTCATCATTTATAAGATCATAAACCCAAAGCAATATTATACTTTTACGAAAGATTCTAATATTTTATTTAACCTTTGCTGACAACAACTGCGTTATATTAATTCAACGGAATCTGAAACCCATCGACTGCAGGTAGGTAAATCTTTGCAACTTTCAAACTCCGTTTGACAGCAAACGTGCATGAACAAGGAGACCTAGGTGCGATATCGCCAGACGTGAAAGGTCGTATTCCTTTTTTTTTACCCATCTCCAGGTGACGTTTCCTTATTTCTTGAGGAAGACAAAAGTAAAATTCCAACATGAATGTTTCATGGGTTGGTTTAAGTAAGGAATTATTCTTCCAAAAATTATCGAACGTGATAGGACGGCCCAATGTAAAATCCCATAGGCGGACCGCGCAAGGGTCCCGAAAGCTCGCTGCGTGACCTTTTACTTTCATTCTCAACAGTGCTGATTTACAGTTGGAAGTGAAAGCCAGCGCTTTTTATCTTCAAATTCAACGACGCATGGCATTTTCTCAATGGTCACTTTATTTTGTGGGGAAGAAACTCTCATTGGATTAGACGGGCCAGCTATCTTACGTAAACGTCAGAACCCAGAAGGCCTACAGTGGAACGCCGAACAAGACGAGGCCCACCCAAAATGTTCGGTATAGCGGTGTTCGTTTTAGCGGCGTTCCGCTGTGATGTGGTGCATGGGCGTTGCCAGTTTTTTTCAGTGGTGCCTTTCCTTACAGTAAATTTTGTAATCTTAATGCATTTTGTATGGGCAGTCCTAAACTTTTGCAAATGACTGTAATTTGGTCTCTCCGACTTTGTTATAACCAGAGTTAATTCGTCACGGGGCAATGTGGAAACTTGCCCGCTGCTGCCCTGGGGGTGTACGAACATGCACTAGCTCAGGACTGCACCGGGGGAGAGTCGCTCTCTCTCTCTCTCTCTCTATCCACCCAAACTCCCGGCGTCCCACCAGTTTCCCCTCTGAGACATTTAACTGAATTAGTCTCTTCCCGTACCCCCCCCAAGTTATGCCTCACAAAACCAACCGATGGATGTACGTGGAGAATTTCCGGATTTTTGACGCTAAGTGTATGTTTCTTTAGGATGGAACACCGGGCCTTGACGCGCCCGTTTCTTGTGTTGAGAAAAGGCGTTGACACGCGAGGCATTCAATCTTATTTAAAGATAGATATTTCACATGGAATTTCGAAAGGGCAGAGCATAATTAGGGCTAAATGTCCGGGGCACTCGGGATGCTGCAGCGTATAAATTCTATGGGGGGGGGCACGATCACGTGCCCCTGTGGCCCCCCCCCATTGTTACGCCACTAGCGCCTCAGAAGTTAGTACGAAGCATTTGACTTGTATTCATGGTCGATATGAGAAAAAAAATTACAATCCGTTTCCCCAAGGGATAAGAGGCCTTTTAATGGACGAAGCCAAGTATACAGGGTTCTTTCATTTTAAGACTTGTAAGCGAGGCTAATATACACTTGTTACTCCTGTTCCACAATACCTTGTAGGCCTACATGAACAGAAACACTTAAGAGAGCAACTTCGATCCCAGTTCTGTATTTCCTCAAGTCAGTGGCCAGGGCTTGGTCAGCGAACAGGGACAATCAAATAGCACTGTGCGTATTAAAGGGCCCGTGAAGACCTCCGTAGACGAACTGTTGATTGACTTGTTCAAAAGATTCACTCACTACGTCAACAACCCGATAGTAGATGCAAAAATGAAATATAATTCCCTTTGTTGTGGTTAATTGCCCCTGAAATGAAGGTTTAATCCTGAAAAAATGATGGCGTTATGGGTGACGTACATTTGAGAACCCAAATGATAGTCAGGAACCCTTTCGGCTCGTCTAGACCTCAGAGGAACATGGACATTGGACAACGGCAAAACTTACGTGCCTGCAGTGTTCAAACGTAAAACACATACAATATTCGTCCGTGTATACGATGCCCACGCGCACCCACGGTAAAAGCATGTTCATATGCGGTACACTGCCAAAGTGTGAGAAATTGAACAGCGTTATCGAGCGGAATTGTGTGGACTGATTTGGAAACGTACCCTTTGTCGTTTGCGTTTCATAAAAGCTCCACTTCCTCTTTGCTCACTCGTGGTTTTTTTTTAAATTTCCCACAGATTGTGGGCGCTGTGTCTGACTTCAGCAAAACGAGTTGTAAGTGCTCAAAAGAAAACACTGCGACTCAAAAATACGCTCTGCACAGCTTAAGCTTTCTATCTCTGGCTTTTGATGTCCAAATTCGTTTAAATTTCGCTTTGGTTGGAAAGTTTGGCGGGCTTATCCAATCTTTAAGAATGTTGCCGCTGCCTGCAATAAATCTGATCGGCATGATCTCTAAATCATCCAAAATAGGACTGAATTTTCCGAACGGGACTCAAGACATGCATTAACACGCTGCCAACGGGCGACAATGTCTTCTCAAATGTACCTCACGGATATGCAAATGTTCTACGTCAATGAGTTACCTCTCGGGCGGGTGGGGCAGGACCGTTTCACCAAAAACCTGCAATTTTATGTCTCCCATTTATTAATCAAAACAACAACTTTTACAACCTGTATTTCGTTTAAAAAAGCAAAAAAAAATCCAATTATAACAACTAAAAAACACTTTTCACGGACCCTTTAATGTCAAGCGCATGCACTCCATGCAGAATGGTGTTTGCCTAGACTCACATGCCACAACTTACAAACACGCTGTATGCATTCCATATTTCGGATTTCTTTATCTGATATCCTGTGTTTGACGATATTTGAAAGTGCTGGAGGCTAGTAAACGATATTCCATGCAACACAAATTACACACAGCGTCGGTCCTTACCAAGGGGTACTGATTACAACCTCATAAACGACTTTGTAACTCGACATACATAAGGTACACCTGACACTTTAATAAAGATTAAAAACAAAAGGGTCATTGGACTTGAAATAAGAAAAAACTAAATTACCAGAAAATATTTATAGTTTTTACATATTATTTACAGTGCTTTATTCACACCTTATTTTTCCCACACACCATACAAAGTTGTAGTGTCAATCACTTAACAGAAGGGCATATGTATTTGAGACGCAGAGTCAGTACAATTAACAAAAAAGACATAATGGTGTGAATTTTACACCATACAAATATTGATCCATTCATCCGTGCAAATGCTAATGACTGGCTGTGAGTAAACTGGATAACAGACATCATTTTACAAGAGTCAAACCTTTAAAGCAATCACCAACCACCTCATAAAGGATATTGTTTAGGGAAGGATTGATTTCTGATGATTAAAAACCTCCTTGCACAAAGGATTGAGAAGAAAGCCTTGTTGCCCAGTGGTGATACGGGTAATAGTGCAGTAAATCATATGGTTGTCTGTAGATTTGTCCAGAAATTGAATAGAAGAAGAGAAGGACATTACTCCACGTGTGTCACAGCCAATACAGTATTGTCCGTCGCCAAAAATGCACATGAGAGTCAAGTTTATGCATGCATGCAGCATGCATTGTGAGTGCAGTGCCACCATGGTAACAGTCTCTCCTCAGACTTCTTTGTAAACACAATGAGGAACAGTTGCACCTGTTTCACTCAGTTTCTCTCCATGGTCAATTTTCAGCTCAAACTGGGCTCACTCTCATGTTTGCTGACGACTCAATTTTGGTTACTCTGTGTTGCACACGCCACGTGTTCATCTCGGTGATATATCGTGGCATTTAACCCCTTTTTTTTTTTTTTTGTTAAATAACACAGCTGACTGTGACCTCAGGCAAAGCTTGCGAGATCACTTCAAGTTCCGACCTCCATGCCGATCTGACCTTTTCTAGTGCTGGGACCACTGAATCTCTTTGATATCAATACCCTCCTGTACCATCTCCCACAGAGGGCTGGAAGACAAATGGAAGAAAGAACAAAACAATTCAATTCCATCCAATTCAATTCCATTGACAAATGCAGAACGGCGCCTTTCTAAAGCATTTCAACAAAGGAAAATTGGTTTCAACGGGCATTAAAGGGCCATCCACAGTTTTCACCATTTTTGTAGCATACAAATCAGAGTTGATGATTCCTTTCTATTAAATGTGTATTTGCCGCTTTAAAATGTGCAAAAACTGGAAAAACACGTAAATCATTTTAAAACCTGAAAACAATTGCACACGTCTTGCCTTTAAAAAAAAAATGAATCAACAATTTCAAAGAAACCTACTACTTAATTTAGTGAATGAAATCAGTACTGACTTCAAATCGGCCAATCCTAATATAGATCTTTCCTCTTGCACAAAAGGTGGTGCCTGTGACAAGTACTGCAAACATCTTTAACCTTCCTCAAAGGGTATACAACTTCTAATCCCCCCCCCTCCAGCATGGTTTGTAACCTCATGCAGAGATGATAAACCAAACAAACACAGGGCACACTGAGGGATGCTGTGCTCCTTTCTAGAATAATGTATCACTTATTATTCATTCATTATTCATTTCAGTAGGGAGAATAAACAGCATAAAATTAGATACAACGAAACACAAAATAAACAAAACAGAAATACCATATTTTCTTTAAACATGTTAAACATTTGTAACATCACACGTCACTTATGTAACGCTCCTTTTTTTTCTAGTTACATAACGTTTCTGTGTGCTGAGAATCTCTTTTGTTAAGCCCTAAGCATTAAGGTGGTCCGTGTGCAGGAAAAATTAATTAGCTCGGGATTGTAACAGTGTAATTTCTCTTCTGCTCCCACCAACATCATCAAACCTACCTCATTTCCCTGAGGGCTTTGACGTTCCTAATGCACTGCTCTGCGGTGTAATCAATTTCCTCTTCTGTGGTGAATCGACCAATGCCAAACCTAGCGGGAGGTGAGAAATGAAACAAGAGACAAAAAACAAATGTAAAGGGCGGTGCTGACGTCACCATCTTGGAGAGACATGACAGGCAAAGTGTGCCTGGGGTGTTGATGAACACAATGACTCTCTAATGAAGCTGGCCTAAGGCCAAGGTTTCAGAATGAAACTTCCGTTCCCCAAGGAGTTGCACTGTCATTAAGGTCACATTAATATTAAGGTCTACATCAAAAATAAGGTTACCTGCAGAAAACAAGGATCATATTGTTTCCGACAAGTTTTCGGCCAAAAAAATTGGTTATTCTATTTGGCCGCCGTTGGTGGCAGTGTAAGCGTTAACATGGAATGTTCAATATGTATAGTTCTGTACATGTACCATCGATCCAAACTGACAGAAATAGCAGCCTAGGCGGGGAATCTACTCTGCTGAAATAAAGTCTTAGGGGAAATTCATTCAATGTTCATGTACTTTACAGTGATGTGCCTTTCCACTGTTTGTAGTTGAGAAAGGCACTCAAGAATTAAAGAACAAAAAGTTGCCCCCCCATATCTGCTCTTTAAGGTGACATTGCTACACAGAGTATGCAACAAAGGCAACACGGGCATTCAGGGGGCACACAGTGTCTTCTGACCATCTTTCTTTGTTTATCTTTGTTGGGTAGGTTTCTTAATCCTCTGAATAACCCCAGAAAATGCTGAGGCCAAACCCTCCACATTTTCCTCGATGTCGAGGAATGCATCTTTTTTGCCTAAGTAGTATCGTATGATTATTTTGACATCACTTTGATGAAAATTGGACACACCGTATGCACGATATTTCCAAGACTGGTCAGCAAAAACATTAGCTCTTCCCACTGATGAAGAGCCCACAGCCCGACATGCATGAGGGTGCAACTATAAATAGCCAGAACAACAAAATCCTGTATTCGATTTCATTGAAATGTAATACTTTTACCCATTACAAATACCTTGCATGGCAAGTGAAAAAAAAGGGTAATGCACAGCCAAGATTTCACAAAATACCAATTTCCAAAAGCAAGTCAGCAAAAAATATAATCTCCCACTGACATGGGATCACAGGCTCACGGGCCAATTCAAATGGATACATGAACTGTAAATGACCCTAAATCAGAACCCTTGTATCTAAATGAATTAAAACTCCGCAATAGATGTCTTCAAATTCTTGCAAGATATCAACAAAAATTGAGAAGGAACAAAGCCAAACACCACTCCCTTGGAGGAATGTTAAAAAAAAGGCTCTTTAACCATCAAAGAGTAACGTTATTTTGGCCCATCTCAGAGCTCCGAGGTGGTGGAATGTGGCTGTGCCAATCTCAATTTTTTTAAACTTGGCATGCGTGTGAAGACATTCCTTATCATTACAAAAGTTTGAACTCAATCAGGCATGCAGTTTTGTTGCTACGGTCATTTGAAGTTCAAGGCTACATGCGTGCCAGCCCACGTGCATTGAGAACTGCAGTGGAAAAAGTATACATTTTTGGCTGACCTGTCTGGGAAAATGTGCACTGCGCAAGAACACAGGGCTCGAAATTAGAGGGCAAATGTAGCTAATAAGTGCCAGTTTGTCTCATAAATGCGCCCCAAAATTATAAAGAAAGGCTCAAGTACTAACGCACACGTGTTTGTATTCTTGCCGTGAAAAATACCTGAACTTTTTTACTTCAGATCACACTTGTCACCAAACCACAACATAAGTAAAATTTTTTTGGGATGTCACTGTACCGAGCGCCAGCGGCAGGTCTTACACACGCGGCCAGGACCAACAGCACTGAAGTTCCATAATGCATGCGACTGAAACTACTGTACACGTACATTTTATATACTCAGAGTACATGTACATGCGTACATTGATATGTATCTGCTGTATTGCCGGCCAGCTCAAAGTGCAAACCTTGTGTATAATAGCATTTGGGGACCATTTGGTCATTGGGTTGTGACTGGCTGCCAATGAAACATCAGTATTCATACATGTGTCTGTGGGACTCATTACAGCCATTCCTGCGTGAGCGGATGCTGTGACTGACAATCTCGGCTCACTGTAGCACACATACATGTCACTGTGAATTTATGTTTCGACATTTAGGTTAGTTCGTTTTCGCTTTCGCCTATAGAGGGTTTTGTTACAACTGGCACGGGCCGGAGTACACAAAGTGTGCATCATCGCCAGTATGTGCATCGTTTTGTGTACGAGCTTTCAAACAATTTTTGGACGTTAACTTATTGAAATGTCATTACAACACAAATGAATAATTGTCCAGAGAGAATCTGACCTGGATACAATCTTTGACAAGACCAACCCTCCAGTTACAAATCCGCAGAAAAAACAGTACATGAAATACACCATTGACCATCAAAATCACTTTTTAGTTTACAAAAAAAATTCTGCATGTTGAATTTCTAACCCAAAAACTTTAGAAGAAAAAAAAAGGAAAAACTACCAACCTTCCCAAACTATTTTTTCAATGTAATCATGGTAATACGATGTACAACTATTATTTTGTTTCGCTTTAATTTGTTTAATTTTCTAGATCATATATGGTATATGGAAGCTACTTGCTCACATAAACTGACTACTTCAGCTGTCTAGGGAGCGAGTACTTGCTCCCGTGATGATAAGCCTAATTTCGAGCCCCGAATGGTATGTTTGAGTTTCACAAAGGTGGTGTCAAATGACAGCAAAGTTTTCTCTAAAAACTATTAAAGGCTCAGCTCCTGAAAAAAACACTGCAGCCAAATCAGAAAAATACAAACCCCAGCTGTTTGTGGGTTAAAGCTTATAACTGCCAAGGCATTAAGTCAGTCATATGTGACCCACTTTGTGAAAATGAGTCTCAAGTTTCCAGAGCCACTTTGGAGTAAAAAGTCCTTTAGAATAATTCTGCACTTTGTAAATCGATAGGAACCCGTAGCATTTTTCACCATGGAGTATCCACTTTCATCAAGACGCCAAACTGAGTGATACATCAAAACAAAAAACGTCCATTTGCTCTTTCCAATACAAATGAAAACTCCAGAAGTGGCCTTGGCGACTTAAGACTCATTTTCATGGAGTGGGTCACATACGGTATGTACTGTAATAGTGGCTCTGTCTTTGTCAATCTTGTATTAAAACTTTTGAATGTCTCGGTGGACCTTTGAAGGATCAAGGAGTAGGCATACAAATGGAGGTCAACAATAACAGAGGAATTTCAAAGAAGTACGCGGACTTGCTACAACATTTTCCAACTTGTAATGGCATAAATGGGAAGTAAAAAACGTTAGGAAATCTGCTCATCCAAGGGAAAGTTGCATTCTTGAAGGAGAAAGTTCAAGAACATATTCTCAGCATTTCATCCCTACATTTCTGAAATATCTTCCCATTAACTAAGATATTATCTCCCATTAACTAACGTCTGACATGTTTTTACCCAAGTTACCTGATGGAAGAATGAGCCAGGTCTTCAGCGGCTCCGATGGCCCGCAGCACGTAGGAGGGCTCCAGGGAAGCCGAGGTGCAGGCACTGCCCGATGACAGGGCCACGCTCTTCAGGGCCATCAGCAGTGACTCCCCCTCGATGTAGGCGAAGGAGAGGTTGACGCAGCCCGGGTAGCGCTGCTCAGGGTCACCGTTCTGGATCACATCCGAGACCTGGCCAGTCACCTTGGAGATGAGGCGTTCCGACAGGGCGGAGATACGCTTATGGTCGTACTGGGAGCAAAAAACAATGAGTGTTGGTGTCTACTTGCTGTTGCTTCGTGTGGAGATTGGATGCTCAACAAATTGGTGGCACAGACCAGGTGCCTTCCGCATATTACCCTTTTGTAACACGTTGCCCAACCTTTTTCAAAACGTCAAAAGTAACAACAATGTGAGAACCAACTCAACCAAGCCAGTAGTGACGGACCCTTGGGCTAATCATCTACAGGGGCGAGATTTGCGGCAACTGTCAAATCTGGAACAAAATGCCTCCTTAAATATGTCCCTCATTCCTCCATTTCAACAATTGATCGCACCATGTGGTTATATTATCGCACCATGTGCACCCAGGTGCCTCCAGTTTCCTTGCTTGTTGAATTTTTTTGATTAAATTCTGACAATACTCATCTTCCCTTCGCTGCCTCTTATTCGGCCTGACTTTCGAGCCACAAAAATATCCATGGATTTTTTAAGTCTTCATCAAGTGAAAGATTTCTACAGCAACCAATGATTTTGAGAGCTTTTTTAATTGATCAAAGTGACAAATTTTGAGATGTTCCCTTAATAAATTCAAACAACGGACCACAGCTCAAACAACACAGTGTCCTACCTCCATCTCTTTCAGAGAAATACGGCAGGCTTCGCCGAGTCCAACGATGAGCGGCGTGGGGAGGGTCCCACTGCGCATGCCCCGTTCCTGGCCTCCGCCGCTCTGCAAGGCCTCGATGCGAACACGGGGACGACGCCGGACGTAGAGTGCCCCAATACCTGCCCAGGCAAAAGCAAATACTAACTCAAACACAACCGCAGCGTTATCTATGGGCGAGATACATCATGGTTCACAGATTTTATCATACAAATCGTGGGCTTAAAAGTTGAGCATCCAACAGAGAGAGAGAAGGACCTTTTTTTAATATTGATAAACCATTTTCTATAGAGTGAGACACTGCACGTACGTACCAAAGGCAGACCCAAAACCAAATTTTCAAGGGGGGGAGTCATTCGGGCCCTCAAACTATTTTCATGTAACTTTTTCAGGCCTTACTGACGCGTGACGCTGCCTTTTGGGACTTTCTACATACTTCTGGTTGGAAGAGAAATGAAAGAGACCAAAAATTCACCTTCGCATCTTTTTTTTTTTTAAATTGGCTTTCTTTTGGGGGGCTACTACACACAGCAATCTGTCTAACACATAAAAAGGTTCAGAGATCCACTGCCAGGCAATGAACATGGTTTGCAATTTTTTTTTATTTCAGGAACGTAACAGCTGTCTTCATAAAATTGGAAAGGTAAAATTTGTCTGTGTAATTTCGATCCCTTTCACTCAGACCTCTGAAACACAATCAATACCCTCTCCAAGCTGTTACAGTGTCTCAAGAGGGCAGGTGCAGGAAACCTAGTTTGATCACTACCTTTTGGGGCGTAGATCTTGTGGCCGCTGATGGACATCAAATCAACATTCATCTTGTTGACGTCCACTGGGATCTTGCCCACGGCCTGGGCTGCATCCGTGTGGAAGAACACCTTGTGGGTACGGCACAGCTTGCCTGGAGAGGGAAGTGCACGAAGGCATGAACAGACGAGAAAAATGGTCCAAAACTGGGCTTGTGGAAGGTGTCACATGTGGATTGCCATTTCATAGCCTTCTGTTAGTCGCACGATCTTGGAACGGGAAAGGTAAATCTCTAACAGTTGGTCGAGCACAGATTATTAACTGGATTTATCTGATGGTTTGGATTACCACATCACAAACACAGTGCATACACCTAAGCGGACAGGTTGTTAAAGGAGAGACACAACAGGTCTGAGTGTACTTTTAACAAAAGGACGATTGAATGCTGCGATGAAACAAATGGACAAAATCAAAACTGAAAACTTTGTATCCATGCCGTGTCAACAAATCTCAGTAATCCCAGGAAGTGTGGCCCAATCTAAAAAAATGAATCAGATGTTGCCAGAACCACTTTTGAGTTAAGGGTTTACAAGAACCTTGCAACAATGAAAATCAACGGGAACCCAGAACATTTTTCACCCATGTGATGCCTTTTGTCCTCGGGATACCAGACCAAAACAAAGAGTCCAGTTCGACCTTTCTGACGCAAGAACAAAAGAACTGGGAAAAAAAATTGCTTAAGGACTCATTTTGTGGGATCTGGCAACAATTACAGACTGATATCTCACCTATTTCAGCTATGGGTTGCTTAACTCCAATCTCGTTGTTGACCATCATGACACTGGCAAGCAGAGTATCCGGGCGAATAGCCTCTTCAAAAACCTACGTGGGAAAAAGAAAGCAAAAAGTTACATGAGCGTGCTCTAATCCCAAACAACAGAGAGTGCTTTGCTGCCAAACAATGGGGAGAAATAGGAATGGGGGTGCTCTCCGTAGACCGTATTCACGTCAAAGCTTATATTACATCTTATTCCCTGAATCTGTTTTATACATTGTGAACAGTTGATTACAACGGCATCAGACTATTTTATGATTGGCATGCGTTCCCACCCTCCCGTTCAATATTTTTCCAGATCCAGCTTAGAACAAGGAGGTATGTTTAATCAAAAGTTTGAAATTATCAGAGTAAACAATTTATTACTTCCATTTTTACTCTCAAATTGCAAAAAAGTAAAGAGTTAACCAAACTTCCAACGTCGGTAATTTCAGTATGGTCTACAATCTATTCCACTTGTTTCCGTGTTCTCCTCGTCTGCTTACAGTTTGGGGAGTGATGCATGCATACCAGGGAAGCAGGGTTTAAGCGGTGACAGGGAGAGGAAAGTCAGTTCTAGAACTCAAAAAGATGGGGGGGGGATGTGGGAACCAGTTAGCAAGTGAGAGTACCTGCGCCACTTTTCCACTTTTTCTGAGTTACTTCAATCACATGTTGCAAATGGTCCAGATACAAAACAAATTTTCAAAAAAATGGGCACAAAATAAAACTGTACACAAACTAGACATGCTGGATACCAAACATGATTGAAAAGCACCAAAACGTAACGTCCAAACACTTCTTTCTGAGCAGTTGCAGCTGGCCCTGTAAAAACTGTACGCATACTGACTTATAACTGAGGCCGAAGGTGCCGAAAATGACAATTTTCTGGCAGGGTGCAACCCAATTCGTTGGCTAATCAAGATACAAGCACTTTTCCTCTTTCTATACGTTCAATTTTCTTTTGGAAAAAATCTCAGTTACGGCTGTTGTACAAATTTCCTATGGATTCATTTCAGGCCTGCAAGTACACTTGCAAAATGCAGTAACTTCCCCTACTTTTACTCCTAGGTCCAACAAAGCCTTACTTTAAGGTCGACAATGCCGTTGGATTGCACAGGCAAGTAGGTCACATCAAATCCTTCGGCCTCCAGAGCTCTGCAAGAATCCAGAACGCACTTGTGCTCCTGCCAAAAACAGGAAAAGAAACTAAACACAGGCATGCCACTTTGGCTTTGACCAAGCAACAAGGAAATTCCAATTCTTACATGAGTTTTTCCAATTTTCAATGGCGTGAGTGCGAAGTGTTAACAAGGAAATCAGCGGATCTGAGGATAAGTTGCATGCCTGTAAACACCGCGAACACGGACTTTCAACTTTGTACAGTACAAAAGTTTCAACTGTAGTTCTCCAGCTGGTAGCCCAATGTTAAAAGCCGTGAAATATTGAACTTGGCTGAACCTTGGCAGTGAAAGATGAAGAAACTTGCCAGTTTAGCGATAGGCAGAATACAACAGACCAATGCCAAATGTGCAATTCAATAATTGAGTGAGGTGAAACACAAATACTGAGTGAAAAACTTTAAATGCACTTGTCACCAGTTCCTCAAAACAACAGTTGAAGAAATGGAAGCAGTCAATACTTGATGCTGGATATGGCTGGAGATCCATTCACTCGTCGCCATGCATTAAGACCAATCTGGTTCGTAAGTGTGACATCATTTCAGTTTAAACCACGCCCACTGCACATGCGCTGCACAGAGTGACATGCATTGATCGCCGTTAACGCGGAACCATGGAATCGGAAGTTAACACGCAACTTCAGCTTTGGTCCAATGGAAGCCTGAAAATTGTGGCACATCCAACTTTGTGACGAAGTCACTTATGAAACGGATTGAGATGGAAGTTGAACATGTGTTTGGAACAAAGGCACAAGCTATGATGCAGTCAATTTATACATGTAGTCATTAAAAAAGCTTCACAGGTTAACAAAGCCTAATAATCATTTTATAAAAACTGCCCAAATCTTCATTTGTAGTGAGTTCTGCGGGAAGTGTGCTTTCCAGTAATATATTTGAGTTATCTTTTCCTGAAGATGACATCAAGCTCTTCAGAAAGCAATGCAGACACACCAGGTCTTTAAGAAATGCAATAATGCTGTACAGATCTACTGTGAAGGCCAACTCACCGTCTGTGTGGTTAAGATGTGCTTCTTACGGGACTTGTAGAACCGGCCAACACCCTGTGAAAGTGTAAAAGAGGATCGGTATTTCGGGAATAAATATTAACAACAAAACATAATCATAATTGTTTTCATTTCTGCAGAGAAAAAGCAAAAAGGATTAGATGAAAACATATGCATATTCTTGTAAAGGGGCACTGAGTTTGAAAATCCTCAGAGGTTTTCAGTGTGTTTATGATGAAATGGTAAAACTATGGCTGTTACAGTTAGGTCCAGGAAGGCAGAGGTAAGTTGAATTTAGGGAGTAGACTTTGAAGATCTAATAGCTGGATTGTCATAACAATCTAAGTTTTTGAACACCTCAAAAAGAGACCAAGGCCTTGGCGAAGGGGTCCTTGGAAACTGTTACTTTCACTGAAATTCCACGCCTTATAAACAGAAAGTTTTTGGTACCTTGACAGAGATGTTATTGGACTCCGTGGCGCCACTGGTGAAGATGATCTCGCGCGGGTCTGCTCCAATCAGCTGTGCTACGTGCTGTGAGGTACAAACACGAGGACTAATCATGAGTGACATATTGGAGGAAAAGCCAAGAGGGCTTACACTGCCCCCTGTGCAAGACCCTTTGCTGCCCACTTCGTCAAGCTCTGTCGAGGAAATGTCACAAAGGTGTGGGTTCTTCCATGAGGTTGGGGCACAATTTGTGACGGCGTTCATCGTTACATGGGTTCCATAAAATGAACAGCTATTCCCCTGTGTTTGGATTCAAAATTGACATTGTTACACATCTTGCATGGCTGAATACGGAGGTTTGTGTTATGGTCATAGAGTAGATGACCTACTCTGCAAGTCATGACAGGTCGAAAAAGTTACCGATGCAACAAGGACACCATCACAGATTGCGCCCCAACCTCATGGAATGGCCCGTATCTCTTTGTCAACATTCATCCCCTGCTAAATCTACTGTACCACTACGTTTGATTCCTTTCCCTTGTGCTTGCTCATGTGAGTGTGACTAGGATTCTGGCCCAAGTAACCAACCTGCCCTGCTGGTTAAGGAGCATCTTGAAAGTCAGGAATGTTCGCGTTCAGTTGAACCATTTCCCATTGGGACGCTATGTGCTGAGCGTACACAACTTTGAACAGTTTGAATTATTTCAAGAGCTTAAATCATGCCATGATCTTTTGACCCTAACCATTTGCTCTGCAACCTGAGATCTTTCATTTCTTTAAAAATATCCACCCATACGTGCACCTATAACAAAAGCACCATTGAGGGCCAGAGAATTGAGCAAAACACGCTGTTCAATACTTCATCAAACTTCCAACTGACTAGGTATTCTCCAACCCACTTACTGCTCTAGCGTTCTCCACAGCATCTTCACTCTCCCAGCCGTAGGAATGAGTCCTGGAGTGGGGGTTTCCAAAGTAAGCCAGTGAGTACGGCATCATGGCATCCAGGACACGTGGATCCTGAAAAACAAACACCATCAAACTGCAGTGAAGACAGAGGCCTGTCTTGAGTGGAATTGTACAGATCATGGATAGGAGTATCTTGTGGAAGTTCAATGTTACTATTAAGATCTTGTTCCAGATCCAATGTGGAGAAATTGGGTTTTTTTGTAAGTGTATGTGAACAATTTTTTTTTTCTGTCTAAACTGAAGTGGGCATTGCTCGAGAAAATGTGTTCTTTCAAAAAAGTGTGTAAAATGTCAATAATCACAAGAATTTCATAGTTTCACCATGATACATGAAGGACATTCTTTCACACCTGTGTACTGCAAGTACACATCAGTCATTCACGAAAGCAACTACTGACACTTCCTACCCAAAACCTATCTGGGCATCACCATGCTTATGGTTGAGTACAGTAATGACACACATGGTGCTCTCCAGCGGCGAATAAGCACAAGCAGCACAGAAATGACACAGTCTAAGTCATTACTGTCGTCTGTTGCACCATGAAGTGACATATCATGGATAGTTGCCGCACCATGAATTGATGTATCCTGTGTACAAAGTCTATGGACGGTATGTCGCTTGGTGGTGTACCACAACTATCCTACACGTCACTTTGTGGTGAAACCTATCACCTATGTAAACCATGAAGGTTCCTCACCAGGGGAGTGGTGGACTGGGCATCCATGTAGAGTGCCCTCCCAGCAAAGTCATCCTCTTTCACAACTTCAGCCCCTATATTTAAAAAAAAATTATTGATTAAAATGAACACATGTAACTCATGAAATTATGCAGAAGCAATCTCACAAGAGACAGTCTCTTAGACACAAGTTGTGGATCGCATGAGAAGCGGAAAGTTGGATGCACGAAAGAACAATATTGAGAGAAATGTACAAGGTACCAGTACATGTATGAAAATTATATTGATGTATTTCTTGCAAAATCAGTGTCACACTAGTTCATGTAAAGTCGCACCTCAAAACACCAGGACTGTTTTTCACAAGCCTGTGATTTTCATATACATGTATACTCATGTTTACATGTACATAATTCAAAGCTTTGGAAACACTGCTCTATGTCCCAGGGTGTATATGCAATTCCCTATAAATCAATTGTAAGTAAATTAAGGCTTCACTGCATCTGGTCGGAGTAACTTAGACCATACTTAAATACATGTATTGCCTTTATTAGCATTTGGACATGATCTCAGCATAGCAGGGCTAAAGCAAATTTGCAGTGGCAGCTTTACAGATAATTTAAGGACACAACAGAAACCTCAAATTTCACCTTCAAAACGGCTGCATAAATGCTTGAAATGCCAGATACTAAAAGTCAAGTGTGAGGACCATGTTGCAGGTACATGTACTTAGACTTGAAAAGTGCCATTTTTCGTAAAATGGCGAGGGCTCCTTGGTGTTATCATTTTCAATGTAGCACATCAGTCTAGGCAAAGTCTCACACCTACATGTAAGTAGCGCATCCATATAGAACATGCACACCCTATACATGTACTGCATGCAACAGAACTGTCATTACAAGAAGGGAAGCTGCCAATCACACTCATGAAACAGCATGGAGAGTGATGTAAGACAGTAGAGGCGCACACATATCACAACTCGGGGACTGTCCCTGTACTTGAAGAAGTCCCACAGCCTGAAAGAGAGAATTTCTCCTTAAAAAGGGGACATTTTTCCCAAGTGGGCTTAGGTAAAAAATATCCACATGCTATGATTAATTTTTTTCTCCCATCCATTGTATTTTCCATGCATATGTAGTTTAAGTTGTTATTATGACCTTTGTGCCATGTCACTTGATTAACTAACTGTATATCATAAAAAATTGATTTTCAGAAAAATTGTTTTGATGCAGTCTTTTTCCTACCCTGTACGTGCCAATGCAGACTCCTGCTGGTAATCCTAGAAGTACGTGTAAACAGTACAATTTTTTTTGTAAACGGCAGCTTAGGGGAAATGTTTCTGCTGAATCCAATTAAGGCATTAAAAGGATCCCCAGAGCAATGGTAAGATCACCAAGCCCACTTGAAAAAAAAGTCCCCATTTAGAGGGACATTCTCTCTTTCCGGGGACTGATTTTGTCCTTGAATAAAGGGCCTTCTCCAAACACAAGGACAGTCTACTGCGAGAGATCAAGTCGGGTCATGACTGATAGGCCTACTTCAAATACGGTAACACCAACGGCATGCAACACGTGCCAGGGGAGCCCTTGGAATATAACAGAAAAATTTCACTTTTCTACATCATCCACATCGATTTTCGCATTGTCATCATAAAATAAGTAAATCTAACTCATGTTAAATATCGCTTTCAGAATCAGATGACTAGGTTATTGTATCATAGGGCAGAGAAAAATTAGCGGCAGCCGTACATCCTATCAGTCACGTCAGCCTACAGGTCTGGCTAGTATCCACAAATCACCATAATTCGCACACTTAGTACTTAGACCAAAATTTGTTCTCAAAGAAACTAAATTATCATGGCTTCATTCTCACTAGCTGAAAGTTTGACTACAATCCTACATGGAATAATATTATGAAGAACATCGGATGTTACCAAAGCAACAGGAACAATGTCTTCTGCAATAAATTGAGTCAGATCGGCTGTAGTAAAACCTACATGTCCGTCACCATAATTCGGGAACGTATTTTCAAACGTCATTTTACAGGGTATCAGTAATGCCCTAAATGTACTTCTGAAAAATCTGCCAGTTTATGTCTCTTGAATGAGGAATCGTTTTTTGCATTAATTACTTTGGTTTGGTGATGCAGTTTGAACAAAACACTTTTATTAACAATAGCTTGACTTCCCATCACTTTCTCTTTTTTGTTCTCCTAGTTTAAAAGTTTTTTCAATTTCATTTCAAGTTACAGAGCAGAATGAATTTTTATTCTTTTAAATAAATCATAATTAGCATAAGTATGAGTGATCGATCTGGGTATTATGACAAAACTTCACTTTCTAAGAGTATTTCTGAAAAAATTCCCGAAATACATGTACAGCTATACAATGCCACTGAATCCACGCCAATCGTCGGCAACAGATATCTGAAAATATGAGGTGATCAGTGCTTTTTCAGGCTCCGTATTTTTTGTAACGCCCTCAGTGGTTGGCGCAAGTTGACCGAAGCCGTCATCAGTGCTTGTATCTGATGTCAACACCGATCATTAGCAAACAGCGATCATTTATCCCATTTTCTAGACAATTTCAGCCAGTTAAATTTTGTATTTAATCTGTTAAGTAGCTCTACTGAGTGGAGTGTCAGTATTCCTCTTTTAATGATTTTGGACGGGATTGTCATACTAACGCTCCACGACATTACATATGGTAAAGTGAAAACGGTTCTTAAAAATTCCCAAGACTCACCAAAAATATCTTTATCACCACCTACTGGCTTCCGCAAATGCCAATGCCAAATGGTTGGGGCTTCGAAAATCTGACTGCTTTCACTCGACACATGCACAGCAACGTTTTGCCTCCTCCCATTCAAATACAGGCATGTAGAGTTTCTGACGCAATAAGTCTATGGACGAACACGGTCCTTTAACGAAACCACAGGAAAGGCTGATATATAGTTGGGGCATAAGACGTATTGACCAGGATACAGTCATTTGTAGCACTCCCAAACATCATGATCAACAAGTCTTGTGTGCAGACCACATAAAGCCCACTCATGCGTACATTTTGAATAACCATGCATGTCCACACCATAGACTTATTGCATCAGAAACTCTACACGCCCGTATTTGATTTGGGAGGAGGCGGCAAAGAGTTTAAGTGCTGTGCGTGTGTCGAGCGAAATGGTCGGATTTCAACAGATTTTGAAGTCAGAAATATCACTGAAGCCCCACCCATTTGACGTTGGCATTTACAGAAGCCAGTAGGTGGTGATAAAGGTATTTTTGGTGAGTCTTGGGAATTTCTGAGAACCATTGTCACTTTACTATGAAATGTCGTGGAGCGTTAGTATGACGATCCCGTGCAAAATCATAAAAAGAAGAATACTGACACTCCACTGAGTAGAGCTATAGTTTCTGTTAAGTAAAACTGTGCTCTGCAGACATTTTTCCTGAATTCTCATTGGAAAAGCTTTTAAAATTCGCACACAGGCCTAGCTGCAGAAAGAAAAATGCCAACATTTAAGTAGAAACTGACGATCGATCACTGAGAGTAAATTAAGTGTCATAATTTCATTCAAGACTTGAATGACGAAAAAGTTGGATGTGCGAATATACATGTACACTGTGCAGCTGTATGCACGAAATTAGGGTAGGCTACTCCACAATAATCGTAACCCTAGGCCCCCCTAATTTGTTTCGTATACAGGCCAGATCACTATACTTCTAACACTAACAGTCTCTTTTAATATAATCAACGTGAAACTGCTGCTAATGGGCCCCAAAAGAGAAAACCGAATTTGTTAAAATTTATTTTTACCTAGGCCTACATGTACACGCACATGTACTACGTAGGCCTAGTAACTGTTTTTATTTTTCTCAACTTATGCAATTACTGGTCTGGTTCCCCGACACACGCCGTGCCAGAGTCGAAATCATGCCCGACAGCGCGAGCGCCATGCGGATTTCTTACCCTGTTGCACTGCGACGGTCCCGAACGATGCAGCTTTCTGCAGATAAGGCCGCCCAGAAATCCCTGCGACTCCCCTGACCACTCCCACTGTACTTCTGCAGATTCCTGGCAACATTTCTAATCAAATAAAATACTTTATATTTGCTAAAGATGATGTTTTAGGATTTTCACCGCGAACCCAGCTAGCTGCGCATCACCAATTCCCGAGAAGTGTGTGTGCCAAATGAGGGCGCTACAAGTTTGCGCCGGGAATGTTGTAATGTTAATGTTGTGCATGCTCGACGCGCTTAATATCTTCGGCACAGGGCAGGTCGGACTTTCGTTTAACGTTTCCCGGTGCGGAAAAAACCGGCATGCATGTTGTCAGTGAAGTCTATCTAGAATATTATCTACATGCAATAAACATTGCTGGGTGAGTGAAATCACTATCTAGCCTACGTTACATTAAATCATGCAGCGAAGAGAGCTCTGAAATTGGCCAGATTTGGGGGTGTAAATTGTTGGCCTAGATCATCAGAAGTTCATGTACATGTATGTAAGTTGGATTTCTGTTTACAAAAACGCATCAACTGAGCTGCATGATGTAGGCCTACTGACTGTTTCTGTGAAGACACGAGGGAGAAGTAAGAATGGCACGGCTGACAAGAGCTGCTAGGCTTGCGAATGTTACCGTGGGAATTAGGTGTATGGAAAATATTACAAGGAGTTTATGCTGTCATGTTACGTACAGTGACAAGCTGTCTGCAATTCAAGGTCAATGTTGGAACAAATGCTTGAATCCTGTGAATAGACTGAAAACACTCTGCTCTTGGAAGCCACTGACTTTCCTAGGACGAGTCGTCAACCAGCCTGTCCATTGGTTTCACACAACTGGGGTCCAAAATTGGTATGGCCACCTGACCATCACACCAGAACAAGTCAACTCTATTCTGCACAGGAATGAGCTTGCGGTGGAAGTAGATGCCAGCAAGTGCACCTCTGTAAAAACTTTCATGACCAACCAGTTGCGGTCAAACAACCCGGTGGAGGATCGCAGGGCGGAGGCAGCCTGTGTGATGACCAAGGCCATGCTGTTCGGCGTGTTTGACGGGCATCACGGACCAGCCTGTGCCCAAGTTGTCAGTGAACGCTTGTTCAATTACATAGCAGCTGAGGCTCTCCCATACAAAGTGCTCCAGGAGGCCCTACGGATGTTTGCCAGCGGGGAACTGCTAGAGTTAGTTGAGTGGTACCAGCATCCTAATGATTACATCTCCCGTGACAGGCAGACGCTGTTCCGGCACAGTCTGGGGCAGTACATGAAGGACAACCTGGAGATGGATTTCCAGGGGGAAGACAGGGTGGCTGACGTACTGATGACGTCATTCGACAGGCTGGACAAAGACTTATCCACCGAGGCACAGAGCACTTCCAATGGGGAATTCAACGATGAGGGGCTCCACACTGTCTTCTCTGGTGCCTGTGCCTGTGTTGCCTATGTGGAAGCAGACGATTTGTATGTGGCCAATGCAGGAGACTGCCGGGCAGTGCTGGGCCGGCAGAGCGACAACGAACCTTGGAGTGCCATCGCCCTGTCAAACGATCACAATGCGCAAAACATTGACGAGGTCAGAAGGTTACGCTCAGCCCACCCTCAGGATGAATCATCCACCGTCATCAAGAACGGTCGCCTGCTGAGCGAGCTGGCCCCCCTCCGGGCCTTCGGGGATGTGCGCTACAAGTGGAGCCAGTCCCTCCAGCACCAGGTACTGAACCCCTGGTTCGGCACTAATGTCATCCCCAAGAACTTCCACACTCCGCCCTATCTGATCGCCACCCCCGAGGTGATCCACCACCGCCTCACCCCGGATGACCGCTTCCTCATTCTTGCCACCGACGGACTGTGGGACTTCCTGACCCCCGAGAAGGCCGTCAGCCTGGTTGGGGAGTTCCTCCTGATGAGTGACAAAGTGGGCAACTTCCGCCCCCCGTCCACTGACATGACTCTTGAGCATATTCACCAGATGCTGTCCAGGCGCAAGGCAGCCCTGTGGCCGAGGGATGACAACGTAGCCACCCACCTGATCCGCTACGCCCTGGGTGGTGTTCACAACCGGTTTGACCACCATCGGTTGGCCAACACACTGAGTCTACCAGATAACGTAGTCAGGCAGTACAGGGATGATATCACAGTGACAGTTGTGTTCTTTCAATGACAACTGTCCAACAATAGCAAAAAAATCCATTGAATTTGGATTTAGTGTTCAATGAAGCTTTCAACTTTGCATTCAGTAAATGCCGAAGGAAATGGCTATTCCTGTAGATATTAAGATTGAAGTGTTTCTGACAATGACAGTGAAATATGGACATCCTCTGATCAGTAACTGTAAGGTTTACTTATTTGTAGAATTTGATGTTTTGTACTCATGTAAATGAATAACAATACTACAGTTATTAAGAAAAACAGGTCTATTAATTAGTCAAAGTGTTACCCACAACATCCAGGTATTTTTTTACAAGCCTTCAGACGACTCTGAGTGTGCAGTGTTGATACAGGTACATGTAAATATACGTCAGCTAAGGGCCGAAAACCCACAATATAAAATGTGCAAATACATACACTGTATGTGTAAATGTTCTTTCTTGCACAAGGTGGTACAAATTTAATGGAGTACTTTTTAAAGTGGAATATTTATCAAGTATTCTTGTCGTTGTTGGTCAGATTTTAATTAACGTAATACTCTAAAGTCTCAAGAATCCCACATGCATGGAGTTTGCCAGCAGTCTTTTTTACCCTCTTTTTCTTGAACTCATGACAAAACTAGGAAGTAAATACCAGGAGTCACTGTCCATGTGTTGCAGTCGAGACCCCTTTGACTTGAGACCATCACAAGACAACACAAGACCTCCTATCTGAATTCAAAGTCATGGGCAAGTAAAAACCACATCGGAAACATTACTTTGTCATCGTTCACCCTGATTTGCTTCTCAACTATAACACGGGCTACAATGTTTTTTACATGTGTTTTGCCACCTGGATGTATGTTGGACCACATGTACACCGAAAGGTCTTGCTGATACATTTAAAGTATAAACAAAACAAACTTGTGTTGTATTTGCATCCTTTTGACATGTAAAGGATACTGAATGTACTTTCTGAAATGTGACCTGCCACCGCAAAATGACCTGAAAGTCCGAATTTTCAAAAATTAAGATACTTAGTATTGATGTCTTTGAATTCAGCACGAAGAGAGCTTTCCAGTGGCATGTACATGGAACACTTGGGGTAAAAGTATAAGGCGACTATGAAACATTATTATGGCGACTGTGTGTCATTGTTTCCGACATTGTTTAAACATTTCTGACCGGGCACGAATAATGCTATCATCGACATTGCTGAGAAAATCACATTTTTAAATATCTGATGCTGCGAAAAAAATTTGGAATTAAATAGACGGAATACTCTTTCAAAATATTACATTTCCAAATATTACTGTACAAAAGCCATCCCCTTCAATATTTGGCTTTGAACCCTCAAAATAGCAAAGTGCGCAATGCCACTTTATGCTCATTTTGTCATGCTGGGTCGCAAATACGTAAGGTTAAATGTGGGCACATGTACACTGTATAAACAGTTCCGGGCTCTTAAAGCTGGTTCATACATGTACATGGACGTGTACTTCATGCTAAAGTGATGTCCAACTAAACTTGACATTAACTCTGAATTTACAGGGCATCCATAATGTCCGACGTGAACATCCCTTGGCATTTAAGCTTTCATGTGACATACATGTAAATGTATACAGTATAGTGTGTCAACCAACCTTCACGCTGCACATGAATGTTACAATATTTCTTATTAGGCCATCCAAAAGAAATTGCTCTGTCAATCTTGAACATTTTGTCTGTGATCATTGTATATTATTCAACACTTGTGTGGCTTTGGATCTGCTCTCTGAGACATATCAATTTTGAAATGTTCTTTGCAGGCAAAGCGCCAGTAATTCTGTTTGCGCTTGCCCGACGTGTTCTTTCTAAATTGAATACAAGAGAGCATGTATTGAGAAAGCATGTGTTTGGAGACTTTTTAAACCCAGATTTTTTTTTCTCCAGTATGCAGTTTGGAGAATATACATGTAACACTGGATTGTTTTTGAGTTTTTAACAAATTTGTATGGTCTCTGGTCTGAGCGTGAAGCAAGGTTGGTGCGACAGTTGAAGAAAACAAGAAAAGAAAGCTACAATAAGCCTTTGTACTGAAGCCGTCTCACTTTGTTCACGTGCAGTTTCCCAATTGCGGCCCTCTGTCTATGAGCACCATAGGAACAGGAACAAGTTAACAGCGTGTAGGGTCAGTAGTGCAAAGATCTATTGTCCTGACAGACTGGCTTACTTTGTTAAGTGCAGCATTGTCAGACAGATGTTCTATGCATGGTGGTGCTAACATGAAATATGTCCTCACCAAGGTTCCGGGAGTTGGTTCAGAAGTAATGGTCCCAACGTGGAATAACATGCACCATTGAGAAGTAGGCAGCTAGTGGCTGCATCTACAGTACTTGTCACAGGCATTTTATTCCATGTCCATGTACATACATGTTCATGTTCTTGTAAAACCAGCTGGCAGTGTGGCCCTAGGCAAAACTATCAGACATATACATGTACGTGAGTGGAGCCACTGAAATAGACTTCGATTGCATCAGTCGTGTCTTTCAAACCAGCCATCAGCTCAACCGTGTTTAAATGTATTCATTATTCCACGCTTAATGTCAGCGCATTTGAACATATCTATATGAAATTTGCGCTTTACAGATGAATTAATTATTATTATTATTATCACTTCAAATTATTTCAAACCAGCCCTTTTGACCACTCAAGCCAAAAGAAATGAAACATGGCTTCAGCTACAGGTCATGTGACAGTGAAATAAACACACTCTTTTATTTCCACGTAAAATCTGATGTACATGGTATCTACAGTTATAAAGGATGGTTAAGGCACATACATGTAAATACGGCACAGGAAACCATGCACAGCACCATGTCCAGTGTGCCTGTACTTGCATCTAAGGAAATGCATCCATTATTGTGACATTCAGAACTCGTGTAGCATGCTGCCTCAAATGACTCTAAGCCTTCACAATCTGAACCAAAACCCTGAGGAATGCACTTCATAAATTAAGACTGTCTGCAAGATTTTTCACTTCTTATCCATAAAACAAGCTTTGCGGGCAGTGATCGATGCAACACACATACTATCCACAACAGCTGTGGGTGGCTTTCGCCAGCACAGTAATTGCGAAACAGAAAACTAAACTGGGGCTTACAAAGCCGCAACTAAACATTAAGGCTGTGGCTCAGAAGTAGCACGTGCACCTACTGTATGAAAGCCGTTGGTCCCAGTAACAGGACTCAGACACACCCCAAACGACTTGTAAGTACATGACTGTACAACCTGCCATGACATCAGTACATTTTTTTAATGAAGGGTTCCTTTGTTTGCTCGTAAACCCTGGTTATACTGTACGTGGCTGTGTTGCCGTCACTAAATGGATTCATCAATCAGCGATTTGCATGCACTGTACATGTACAAAATGTACGTACACAGCGTATGCATACATGTACAATGTACTTCACTGAATCATGAAATACAGTCCCGATAGATCAACTTGGACAGTGGTTAAGTACAGGGGCATAAAGACTGGGGGGCATGGCACCAGTCAGCAAATAGAGCTGCGGTTGGCAAATGAATCCAAACTTGGTACATAAACGATACAGGTTCCCCTGAAGCACGACGTGTAGCATACCATGGATCTCAATTTTTCCGCACTTTGTGAATTTTACACAAGACGGTAAATTGACTCTGGTACCCCTCCCCCCCAAAAAATGCCTTTGCCATGCCCATGGGCAGGTAATGTACCTACATGGGTGTACGTGTACGGACATATTTTTATTTGACAAGCAACAGTCAGGGAATGAATACGCCGGCAAAGCAGCCATCCGATGAAAACACCATTCAGCATGATGTTCCTGCTTTAATTTTTCAATGATAAACGTGACGTAAGTTTAGCAGACCTGGACCTTTAGTGTTTGTCCTTGACAGTTATTGTCACACCGGCAAGACCTGAACATTGTAACTTACTACGAACAAGAGATCCCTGCCGGGACGCTTCTGTCTCTGCAAGGAGCATATTGCTGAATTTGAAGTAAAAATAGGAAGATGCACTGCATTCAATGTAATTACAATACCCGTATACCACGTTTGGAAGGATTAAGTTTCTGCTCCCCATATCCTTCCAAACACACGAATCAGGAAAAAACATGTACAAAAAGGATAAATACTCATTTAGTCGAATTTTTAAAAAAAATGGACGGTGGACCAACCACCTTCAGATCAAAGAACAAAGATCTGACTGGCCAAATAGAGCACCAAATGGCATTTCAACTACAGCCGAACCTCGCTAATAAGAGCACTGTTAACACAAGACTCTGCTTGTAATGAGGAAATTAATTGTCTGGTCCCAGTCCTTTGTTTTTCAATGTTTTTATTCCTGATAATGCAAGGTTCCTGTTATAACATGGTAATTTGTTAAATCCGAGGACCTCTTAATAACGAGGTTCGACTGTATCCGGCAGGGCTAAATCCTCAAATTTCAATAGGATTTTGCCCACACCAGAGTGTACCCTAGGGTATCAGGCTAAAGATTTAACCACTGAAGTATTTCAATGACATTTTGGTAGAGCAGGATTTTTTGTGCGTGTATGCATTCCTAATATTCACATCTCCACATTCTAACAAAATGTACATATTTACAGTGACCTGACCACAAATGAAAATTGGCAACGATAGAGTATCAACGAATGAAAATCATCTAGACTGTGGCCACAGTCCTTGTCCAATAACTGGAGCAATTTACATCCCCCCCCAATCCTTATCCCTCAAAAGATCTATTTCTAAATCACAGGCTGACTTTAGGTATCCATGGGACGTTTTTCAAGCTATAGCATTTTGATTCTTTTTTTAAATGATGCAATCTTCGTTTCTCACGTGTCGCCCTCCCGCGCAATCACGGCCGACTTCTGCGAGGACATGTGACTTGCAGGGGTGGACGGGTGGCTGGTGACTGCCTGGTGGCGGCTGTTCCGCGAGTGGGTGGAGCGAGGGCCGCTGGCCTGACGGGGGATGATCTGGTTGTCGGTGACCACGGTGAGCCCGTCGTCGTGGTAGTTAGAACTCTGCTGGTTCGTTGGAGAACTTGGCTGGTGACTCAATCCAGTCTCCCCAAAGCTCAGTATCGTGTACTGACGCACTGTGTGAGACGGAAAAGAAAGAGGGAGCATGTATGAGCCCCAGCTGGTTGAAGAGAGGGCACAAATTTCCTGGCAACAGAGGCTCCTTTGGTGGGAACTGCACTTGGCTGGTTCGCAAATGAGTATGACATGCCTGCATTACGGTTGTGTCACTACCAACAAAACGTAGACTTCAGCATGGCTCTTTCCACCTGATGAGGGGTTGCTTCTGCTCAACTTAGGCGGCGAGTGTCATTACGCATGGTCAAATACGTCAACTGCCGCTGCAGACATTGAGACCTTTTAAGACCATCACATGACCCCACAAGATCATCACTAAGACCTACATGTACTGTAACAAATGCATTCCTTTTCTCACTGTTCACCCTGTTACTTGTGGCTGGTCTTGTGACTAGTCTTGTGTATGTACAATGTATTTGTGACTGGTCTTGAGCATGGTCTGGTGTCTGGCCTGGTGATGGTCTTAACTACAACAGTGTAAACTGCACTGTCCTAACATTTGCAGCATCTCTTCCAAAGTCTTATTGGATACATGTATTGCAAAATGAAACTCGAGGTGATTTCTCCAGTAATTTTGTTTTAAATCTGCACTAGATGGAGTGAATTCAGCTCTCTATTTTGGGGTATCACTCAGTTTGAGGTTCCGATAAAAACGGGCATTATGTGGGAGAAAAAAAATGTTAAGGATTCCTCTGTACATTGAGTAAAGTTTTTTTAATCAGATTAAAGGCCTGTAAGTCAAAAAGGCTCTGATAACTTGCAACTCATTTTAGGGGGTTGGGTCACAATTATGTCTCAGCTCATTAACACCAGACAACGCTGGCCAAAGCTCCCCTCAGGTAAGCACTACCGACATACATGTACGCCATCTTTCTTCACACTTTTCATAAGACAATTTCACCGGCAACTCTTGTGCAACATAAATATGTGACCCACTTTGTGAAAATGAGTCTTAAGTTGCCAGAGCCACTTTGGAGTGAAAAGTCCTTTAGAATAATTTGCACAGTGTAAATTGATAAGAACCTGCAGCCTTTTTCCCCATAATGTATCCACTTTCATCAGAATGCCAAACTGAGTGATAGAATGTATATCTACATCAAAACCAAAAAACTCAATTTGCTCTTTTCAATACAAATGAAAACTACAAAAGTGGCCTTGGCGACTTAAGACTCATTTTCACGGAGTGGGTCACATATAACATCCCCCAACGCAAAGTAAATCCTCTAGTAACATGAATGAGGGAACCTTATTCCTGTTTAGCAGTCAAACACTTGTACAATGTAATATCTCACAGCACAGGGCTCTGCCATGGAAGTCTCAGCATTATTTAATGTACAGAAGGTAATCCCACATGGAAGGCCTTTAAGGTTCTAAGCATATACAAGCCAGAAGTGCTTGTAGTAAAATGCCTTGCTTGAGAACACACAATTTCTTGTTGAATGTGTAACCACATACATGTACATGTATAAAAGAGACGTTATTAAAAAGAAAATTGACAGAGAGATATGATGGGGTACCCATGTGTTGACGTATTCGCAATCCTTTCATTCCTGTTACAGGATATTTCTCCAGACAGAAGGATCAGTGAGTCCAATTCTTCAAGAGGGAGGGAACACCTGATGATTTCCCATTTTTGCTCTCCGTTTGTCATGTTTGTTTTATTGTGATGTTAGTGCTCTTCAATACAGTTTAGTGTGGTTAGTACATTTTACTTGGTAGATGAATTTCCAACATGTAGGCTTGGCATCTTCCTGGTGGATTGTTAGTGTATTATGTGGGATTAAGAAGACATTGTGTGCATTGTTGTGGATAAAGTGAAAAAAACCACTGAATTGGAATGCACAAAAGCATAACAATTGGAAAAAGGAAAACAGAGAAAATGCACTACACTAAACAAAACAGTACAACAAGGTACAATTTTTAGAATATGTATTGACTGAAATCTTTTCGTCCATGCAGAATTTCCTCACCTGTAGAGAATTCTGCTGGTACTCAAAATGATTTATTTTCCAGACATAATTGCGAATGTTATCACAACTTTCTGGAACACCTCCACGGATTCATCAATTTTCTCAGGACGGGTGAAACATGGAATGCCTTTCAAGAGGATTTAACCTTTGCGAAGAGTTCTTGTCAATGAGTGCACAGATTTAACATAGTTGTTAACGTAGAGAATTAAGATGACATCTTCTGATTTAGTCTTCCATGCTTATCATGCTTAAAAGCGTAGCTGCAATCAACGTTTTTTATACAAACCTTCAAAAGGCATTTTTGTGTCTCAATTAACCTTATTTTCGACTTTTTTTTCACTCTTTCAAAGGGTATTTTACAGTCTTTTTGGACTTTATGCGGATAAGTATTTCCATATTCATGGCCAAACTGCAACTTCACGCCAGGAAGAAGCCTCAATGTTATATGGTCTGCCCACAAACAAGTCCTGCATTTTTACAGATTTTGCTGGACTCTGCTTCTCTTCTCCGATGACTGATCATTGTTCATGACACTGCATAGCACTAAGCAAGCATCAATCCTTTCTCCAAGATGTTTTCGGTAAGTAAATTCTGGGTTCACAATTTGAACAGAGAGCCTGTGCCCTGAACTAGGGCCGTTTTCCGATATTCAACGTTAGCTTCGTCTCAGGCTTCAACTGTTTTTTTACCACCTGACTTTGAAGCAGTAAGCGCACTAATTAGTCTAATAGTGCCACAAAACATCATACAAGATGCAAGAGAGCAAAAACTTACAGTATTCCAAATTGATTTAAAAGCTTCAGGCCCACAATCAGGGATTGGTTTCGGGGACGAAACCTGAGACGGAGGCGAAGTTGAGTATTGGAAAACGTCCTAAGTCTTCTCTAAATGACTTCAAAGTAACAGTGCCCTCAGTTGTCCAGGAAGATAGGGATGATTTTAACTGCCTAAAAAAAGTGCACTTTTCAATGCATTTAACCAAACAGGAATGGAAAAGAATTTTCATATATTGAAGAAGGACACAAAATTGAAGAAAAATTGTGTCTTAGAAAAGCAGCTACACCTTAATGGGTTTATCTTCATCAAATTTTGATCTCAATATGGACTTCCCAATAAGCACACAAACGTAACAATTTTAATTCCCAGACGAAAGACGCTGATGCTATACCTCGTGATTTTGGGGCAAGCTTTTGCAAGCTTTTGCATAGCGACCACCATCTCTGGAATGGACTGGTTCCTTTGTGCCCTTTTTTCCATTGAAAACAGTGTATTGGTGCAAGGCTTCCCTTCCGTAATTAAGCAAAAGCTTGCCCTGAATCACGAGGTAGAGCAACAGTGCTTTTAGTATGGAGAATTCAAATTATTATGTTCCCGTGAATTTAAAGAACTCAGAGTACCAGATTTTATTCACAGGTCACTCGCAAAAGGCTTATTCCAAGACCAGTTAAGAGGTTTTACCTGAAATATCTACAAAGAAGTTCATCACTATTGTCACTGTTATATACTGCAATCTGTTAATTGCACAAGATGTACAAACTCGGAGGAAATTTTCACACAGGGAAAACATCTAACAGGAGCCCAGGCTGTTCACCCCAAGTGCATGAGTTATTCTTTGCTTAGTAAGATGGTAGACCAAACTTACCCATCCAACACTGTGAAATGCATGCAACAAGGCAAGGAATGCGGCAGGTGAGAGTGGCACAATACAATGGGACACTGAGCAGCAGAAATTAAAGGCCAGTTCATTCTCAGGGCAAAAAGCGAACAACACAAAGTCACAGAGACATCGCGTGTAAAATTTGGCTAAGGTTGACGGGTGATCAACATTTGTCAACTTGCAGGGCAAACTATCTGCGATGTTTTTGTCGATTCAAATTTACTTGTTCACTTTCACACTCGGCATGAACCCGCCTTAACATGCAAGAATGGATGGTGCTGCAAGACGAAGTTGGGCATGTGCAAGTACCGGGAAGTCCACGTGCATCTGTACCATACAGCTGCATGTACATTTAGACTATTGGAGAGCCGACTATGTTTACAATCATGGACAAGGTGAATGTATGTTGGAGGTGACCATTTTTGGAAGGTTGCAGTTCTTCCCCACCAAAAAAAAATTCAAGTTCTAAAATTCTCCAGTTCAAATTATCTCTTCTCAATGCTGGCTTTGAATCAGCCAGTTGACCCACTGGTTGACCAGTTGAAATGCTTCGGTGAGTATGCACCATCATGGGTTTGAGTCACACCAGAGCGAGCCAGCTTTTTGTTTTGTTCGTTACTGACCATAATGCTCTGAGCATGCACTGTGTGGTATCGTTCAATGGGAAACTTTAAGACACTGGTGGCAGCAGACATATTGGTCCTTTTTCACAATACTGCGCATGCTCAGAACTATCCGTGCATGCTCAGAACTATCCGGTCCGGTGTGTTTGTCGCTAGCAAGCTTCTCAAAGTCTCCCATTGTCATACCAAGGTGTCATGCTCAATGCACATCAGAAAGATTTCTAGAAACAGTGAGAGCAGCAAGCCAGATATTGTTGAGAAAAACAATCAATGGCCAGGTTTTTCTCTTTTCCAGTACTGTAGCAAACAAAAGCATTCCTTTGTCACTGTTCACCATGTCATTTCTGACAAGTCTTGTGTCTGGTCTTGTGTCTGGTTTTTCGGGTACATAACTTATTCTTACAATGCACAGCGATCACATGCCCAAAACTACTCAATGATGGAAACAGAAGACGATTACTAAATTGAAAAAATGCTGCATAATTTAGTCTCAGAAGTAATGACTCACTGTTAGGGTTCTTGATGTTGTTTAGGTATGGCACTGTCTTCTTGGCAACAAGACATGGTCGTTGGGAGGTGCTGAAAAAAAGGAAATATTAATAAGCAATGAAGTTAAGTCGTTGAAAATGGTTGGTTTTAGTGCTATTTTCAGTGCCATATGATCCAGCAAGGGCTGATCCTTGTACTTCTTTTAGACACGGAGAGTAGGGATTAAAAATGAAGAAATGTGAACTATTTCCACATTGTCACATTAAATTGAATGTAACAAAATTTGAGTCTATCATTTTTTTTATGACAAGCAGTTACTCCTTGAATGGAGGCTACAGCGTTCTTGCCACGGCACTGCAGGCCCCTATTGTTCATTTTATTTCACCGTGGAGCCCTGGCCTGGCTCTGTGGGCTTCAGAAATGCTAGTCTGGGTTGTTCACTGTGGTCTTAGGAATTCCTTTCTTTTCATATAAGCAGTTGTGGTACACTGATTTGGATAACTTTTACTGCAGGCTTATAAAAGCTGCCTGCAGCATAGTCTGGGTGTGTGGACTGGCGGCCAGGGCGAGGTGGGGGAAGGTGATGTGAAATTTTATCTCACATTTTCAGCGCAGAGGTGCCTACTTGTGTATCTACGTATCTTTAGTTATCTGAAATGTCTCAACTTGTGTTGCTTAACAAAACCACTACTATCTATTTATTTTTTGGGAAGGGGTTCCAGTGGTCTGTGCAGTCTTTCTGTGAGTACGTTGCAGTTTCTTTTCATTTAGTTTTGCCTTGTTCTCGCCCTTGCCACGCCCAGACTGTGGTGTCTCACCGTAGTCATCCCATGTCTTCATAATATGTGCTCTGCCAGTAACTGCATGTACATGTACGTTCTTATTTCTTTTATACACCATGTGTGATTTCCTTTGATTTATAACCTAACCAGCCCTCCCCTGGTGCTTTAATCATACTGTCTGTAGACAAAGAAATGACTAGTAGATTAGTTATTTCAGTTGTTAAAAGGTACACGGATTTCTTTTATTATCATTGTTGTTCGGTTTCTACCATTAAACTAAATGTAAAATTGCTAGTCCCCCCCTCACTGGAGGTTGGCCCCTTGTGGGTTGCTGTTACAGTATGCAAGCTGAGACCTCTCAACATGCTCAAGGGTTTCCTCCAACCCATTCCCCAATCTGCCTGCGTGTTCCAACTCACTCAATATGAGGTAAGCCAATGTGTTTGTAGTGCTTCCAAGCATCCAAGAATGCATCAGCCAGTCGGTAGTTAGGCGTGTAATACTGCAGAACCTTGAACAAGTAGGGATCTTGCCGACACCTTTAAAATCCAGGCAAAGATATCAGAAAAACATCGCAGGTACAGCAGCACGTATGGCAATATCTAACTGACTGAATATTCCTTCAAATATCCAGATGTTGTTTCCATTACTGCAAAACTTTGCCACAATGTGAGTGTGACTAGAGATGATATTTCTCTTCAGAATGGCCAATTTCGGAAAGTCTCAGCTTTTCTGTTAACCACTGGAACTGTTACTCTAAGAACATTTTTGTCCAGCAGCGGTACAATGCAGTGGATGCCAGTTAGAGGATAAATGTTTGTCAAAATGTTGGCTGTCAATTTAAGAAAAACTGTAACCACATATACATTTACTAGATAAACTCGTACTGAAACTGAAAAACTTTCAACGGCACCATAAACTTCCCCATTTCATTTCTCTGTGCACAAACAAAGGGGTACGTTGAGCTTATATTGTTCAGGTCAGTTTGGAAATGGGAATCTCACGACTTCTAAATGAATGAGTCATTTTTAATATATGAACACTGATTTTTTCTAAAACTGACACAACAATCTGTGTTACTTTCCTTTATCAAAGTCACAAAGTTAAGACCGTTTACAAAATGCCCTATCCTACACCTAACAGAATGATTCATACCCACATGCAAATTTGCACTTACTTATTTAGAAGTTCCCTCTCGGCTTTATGGTTGAAGCTTAGATAGCCCAGTGAAATGGCTGCACACCCCCTGACTTGCTCGTCTTCTGACAGCATGTACTTACACAGCAGGCTTATGGCATCTATGGAAATGATGGCAGCCGGCACTCCTGTGGATATCAAGCAAGTAATCTGAAAACATTTAATACCAAGCGGCCTATCCGTGCTCAAATCAAGCCTGGTCTCCCACTGACGTTGGACATGTTCGTGGACCCTGACAAACTCAGAGTTGAGCGAACTTATCACGGGTGGTCGGCCAGGTCTAATTCCTGCCAGGACCACTCAGGGACAAGTCTACCAGGTTTGGTGATATTGCCGGTTTTAAAAACAGCCATACACCCCAGTAGGTATAGCACAGCACAGTGGAGAGAGAGGATTTCAAGTCACAGTTCCTTCTTTGATCACATTATTACTAGAGCCTGCAGGGTTTTCGAACGTTACAAAAATAAAATCAACCAGTGGATGATGAATGGTTTCTCACGGGATATGTTCTGTGTTGAATAGAGCCCACTCATATTACGCTGGCAATCTTAGGTTAACAGAAAACTACCGGTATTTTACAGTATTCATCAATTCAGAACACAAACCTCACAAGCATTTTGAAGAATTTTCACAAATCTTTGAAATGAAAAATACACAGGAAAAAACAAAACTTTGGGCTACAAAGAAATTTGAAGTGGCAAATGACCTGCTCTGGTGTGAGCCAGCCTGGCAATGCAGTCTGCGGCCAGCGACTGGATGTACTCACTCTTGGAGCTCTCCAAGAGGTCGACGATAAGCTTAATACCCACTGCTGACGATGAGGCCTGCTCCTCATCTGGTATGATGCGAGCAAGCACGACAACCTGAAAGATGCCGAAAACATGTGTTACTTAAAACCCTCCTATGGTTTAACAGCACAAATATGTACAAATGCTAACAGTCACTCTTTTGCATGTGTTTTCTATATGGAACAAGAGGGCATGTGGCCAAGTGGTTAGGTTTGTGGCTTCCAATCATAGGGTTGGAGGTTCGAACCCAGCTGCTGGCAGTATGTTGTGGCCCTTGGCAAGCCTCTTCACTCCTGCTTGCCTCTCTCCACCCAGGAGTATAAATGGGTACCAACATTGGCTAGGGAAGCAACCTGCGATGGACTGGCATCCCATCCAATGGGGGAAATACAAATATTCTCAGTCATTTCATGCCAAGGAAACCGGAGATAAACACCGGCCTGATGAGCCTAATTGGCTCGGACCAGACTTGCTTTTCTATATATGGAACACAAATATGCACAGGTTCAATGTGTAGCATAGAATGGCACAGGCTCTGTTCCCTGTCACAACATCACAGTTGGTTTACTGCACAATTAAGCACAAAAATGCAATCTGATATTCCTGTGAGACAGGAGTGCAGTGCACAATATGACACTGCTAAGCATCTTTGTGCTGCTTACCACCTGACCCAAGAGTGACTTCAGCACAGGAGGTTATCATTAAAGGCCTTGCATGAAAGGTTGGATGAAAAGCCACTGTAACATATGCCACACATTATACATGGCATTTCAACTGATTTTAAGAGAGGGCATTAACAATTCTCTTGGGAGCTCTCTGTTTTGGGTTGCCTTGAAGTCATTTTGAGCTTTTGCAGAGCCATATACCTTTTGCCCAAGGGCACAACCCTGACCTTAGCTCATAGGTTATGAAGCCCAACTACACCTACTACATGTATACCATGCTCTGCAAGACTGAAATTCTCCCGGAAACCCTGACCTTAGATCACAGGTTATGAAGCCCAACTACATGTAGGCCTTACACCTGTATTAGACCTTTCTCTGCAAGATTGGCATTTGAACCAGAAACCATTACCTGAAATGCAGCACAGCACCTGTAGAACTCGTTGTCAGACTCAAGGAAGGGAACAAAGCAGTGGTAACGCACACCGCCCGAGTCGGCGATCTCGTGCTGCTGCGTGGTGCTGTTGAAGGCAAAGGCGGCCAAGGCAGAGCCAGCCAGCAATCGCACCAGATCATCTCTGGAGTACAGGAGACGAAGTATGTGCACGTAATTGAAGTCCACATTGTCCGCTATGTCATTCATGACTTCCATGTTGCCTAGACGTTTCAAAAGGAACAACATCATAACATCAATTTACATGTATATTTGGCAAACAAACCAAGAGGCTACACGTAAGTGCAAGCCAATGACTAATTTCTTCCTGTAAAAATGCAACATAGAAGCCTTAGATTGAAGAAAGTGGAATGATAGCTTTTGTTTCGACTCTGCCAGAGCTGAAACGGAAGGATTGAGCTCTTCTAAATTTTAGCTCTTGTACATTTGAAGGGTTTAAAATCTAGATTAAACAGTCTAATCCAGGTAACTAACCTCAAAAATTAGTAACAGTGAAATGAAACTAAAATTGAAACTTCACAGAGAAAAAAATGCTTGCTTGTACAATATAATAGTGCTTCCAATTACCTGTGCAGTCACAGTTTGCACATACATGTACATGTACGTGTGCATGTATGTGTATCAATTTGCAGAAATAACTTGATTGATAACTTTCTCATGGGTTGGACAACAGAGAGTTATTGACAACAACATGATGAAAAGTAGTTTGAGAAATAACAAAAATCTGAGTGCAAATTTCTGTGAAAACTTCGGTCAAAATGAATTACGACTTACGGTAATCAAAACAAGGCGGTCTGCTTTTGAATGGAATAACCTTGCCATTGCCAGCAGGCAATTCAGTTCAGCATGAAATTGGTTTGTGTAATGAAATCCAGTCAGTTTGAAGTTAAGTCTAACCATGCTCGAACCTCCTTTTTTATTTCATCAGGTGAGGCACCACAGGTTTGTAACACAATCCGATTAGGGCAGACATGGCAGACAGCACTGTTGTGTAGTTAACCATCAAATACAGATTACAACAGCCACTGCATACAGAAGTCCTTTTGTTTGCCATCTTACTCAAAACCGACCGTATCTAAATGAAATTTCCTGTTGCTGGATTTTGTTACACTAGATATGATTAGGGATAAATGAAGTTTGTTTCCAAACCTTTTTGTACTACAACCTACTGTACTGCAGCGTGTGCCAGCATTCCTTGTACTGTCACACGCCGTCACTAATCTGCATCCAGTGGTAGTGCTGGAGTAAGAGGAGTGGTGGGGTCATTACATAACCCTGTGTCCCTGCTCTTTGTGGATCAAGAGCTCTCCAGGAGAGACAAGTTGGCCAGAGTAAACAAAAAACCCAGCCATAAATTTATTAGGCTCAGTAGGGCCCTTCCTATCATGTGTGGGAAAAAACAGACTTTGCCCGAGCCCTTTCATTGCACACTCCACGCAAGACAGTGACATTAAAAAGTCATTAGTCAAGATAAAGAGTATTATCTCAATTTGTTTTCTCTAGAATGGTAAGCTACATGTACATTGTACCTGTACATCATGGAGCTATAAAACTGTACACATCTGCAGAAGGTATGAAATGCCAACACAGCTGCTTTCCCACACAAACAGCAAAATATACATATATGTCTGGCATGGGGTTATAAATTCATCCTACAGACCAACATGGAGCAACAACTTCAAATAACACAATTTTAAAAAAAATTATGACAGACTTTTTGCTGTGTGTTTAAAAAAAAAATCAAATAATTTTCCTCTGACGCAGCACATAAGTTTGGAGTGATCTGGAAAGAAGCAAGCACTCATATGTTACTGGATACCAATGACAATTGAGGTTCTCTGTTCAACATGTTCAATGCACATGTACGCACAGTTATTTAGATGTCTTTTCATTCTCCGACCCGGGGTAATAACATTGTATGTAATAAGTTCTTCCATTTTTTTATTTTCATTCTGCCCTTCAGTGCTACTACATGTAAATTTCATTCATATGTTTGCAGTCAAATTAATAAAAATGCTTTAGACTAACTCCGAAAGCAAACCCCCACATCAGTGGGCCCTGAAATGATACAACGTTGGGCAAAGTTAACTGTTTACTCAAATTTAGACAACATGCATGCCAACATGTGGATATCTATCGTAAAGTGTGGATAACCCACATATATCAATAACAAAAAGAGTAGTGATTGGTCTTGTTATCTTATCACACGTCAAGGACAAAGCCAGACAAGTCAGTGTGTTATGCAAACTGACGTAAGGACACTTCCAGCAAACAGTTGAATCACAGAAATTTCTGACACTACCACCAGCTAAGATGTGATAACATCCTAAAAAGCAATACCAAAGGGACAATTTTATCACTTTACATGGATACCAACTGACATGGACCAGTACACACTGTCAATTACCAAATCAGTTCTGATTCTCAGATGAAGTAACCATGAAAAAAACCCAGAAGATTACAATTTTGGGGTTTCCCTCCAATCTTTTCATTTTTTTCAGTTACTAAAGTTTACAACCTTTTCAAATGTTGGGCAACTCAAAAATTTACTACTACATGTGCACCACATGTATAACCATACATGTACATGTAGTTTGACCAATATTGCCTGAAAAAATTGGCGGATGGTTGGACTGTCCGTGGCAGAAGTTATCCCTTTAGAGCCACGCCTTTGGGCATGTCTGCATCGCTGATTATCAATAGCCTTTTTTGTAAATGCAGCAAAGAGAGAACCACTGGCATATATGTAAGCATAGACACTGTACAAGATGGCAGACATTATGAACAGAACCAGAGATACAACCAACGACAAAAGGCAAGTTACAATGGCAAAATATATATGTCTAGTTTGACTGGTGTTGTTTGAGGGGGACCACAATGCAGCTGCATGCATTGGTAAGAAGCCATTGAAGGGTGGGCAAACCAGGGTTCCAGCCCAAACTTCCCAACCACTGTACTGGAATTTTGGAAATACAATAGAACGTTCTGCAGCCACAAAAATCTGCTAATTTACATGTACATCAAACTTCAACGAGTGTGATATTACCGGTCAACTGACAGATTTTTTTGAATATCACTAAGGTCTGATGACAAATTTCCAAATTCATTTCAGGAATTGTGAGCTGTGTTCTGAGCTAGTTATCTGGAAGGAAACTCGCACAAACAAATCTTGAGCAGCTTTAGCTAAACTTGATCAAAATGTCATGCTGAACAATATCAGAGTGCTCAGAAACATTCCAGAACCACAAGAGTTATCAAAAGCAACATTTTAAGCCACAGAAATATACCCTGAGTTGCCCTCAGATTAAAAAACAGTACATGTACATGTATGGTACAAGTCTCATCATAATGTAGTACAATGCATGAGGTTAACCCTAACCCCCTCGGGTGTGTGGAAAATCATATTAAAATTGGAGGATTGAGGACTGTTAGGGTTAATTAAGGACAGTCTTAACATGTAGGATACCTACCAACGGAGCAACAGCCTAAGGTTAATGCTGATTCCACTCGGACGAGTTCATTTCTGGAGTGTACCATCAGTGCCACCAGGTAGCGGATTCCTCGCGAGTTCAGCACCATCTCTTGATTCTCCCTGTGGGGCTTGTACCCAATTCCCACACACAGGTGGCGCAGGGCACGTATGGCGCTCAGGACGATGTGCTCCTTGGGTGAACGCAGCAGTCGAACCAGGGGCTGAACGCCATTGGCCTGGGCGATGGTGTTCTGCTTGTTGTGGGGTCCCTGGGCCAGCACGGCCAGCCCCTCTGCCCCGATGAAGTGCAGGACGTCATACTCCACCTGGGCATTCAGGAAGTCGATGAGGAGGTTGACACCAATCATGCCCGCCATGGTGCGCCGCTCGTCCACGTCCTCCCCGGCCAGGGCCCACAGAGCGCCAGCCGTGCAGACCTGCACCTTTGGGGCGCTGCTCCTCTTCAGGAGGGTCATCAGTGGGATGACGCCACCCTCCTCCAGGATGATCTTCTGGGTGTGAGGGTTGTCTTTAGCCAGGCAGTGGATAGCGCTGATGGCATTCAGCTGCAGTTCTCTGTTCTTGGTGCTGGCGAGGGTGATCAGGGCCGACGAGCCCCCCTCATCGACAAAGCTGTCCTGGTTCTGCTTCTCCTCCTGAACGATCTTTTGCACCGCTGTGGTGAGAGATACAAGGAGGGCCTTGAGCTGCTTGGACTCTTTGGACAGGCAGGAGTCAAACAGACTGACGAGCGCTACCATGGAGCCACTGGTGCCCCCGATAGTCTGTCTGTGTTCAGCGCTTGCGGCTGCAATCTCCGAGAGCGTATCCGTCACCTGGACCAAGATATCCTGATCACTGTTGGTCTGCCAGATTTTGATGAGGGCTGTGATGGCTCCATTCCTCACCAGTGGGTCAACATACTCCTGGACTCTGGAGAGGTGGCAAAGCATCGAGGCGCCAGCCAAGATTAGCTCCCTAGAGTCGCTCTTGAAAAGTTCCAGAGATGTCGGTATGCCACCGTGCTTGATGATCTGTTCCTTGACCGTTTGCGACTGGATGATGTTGAGCAGCAAAGTGTACATGTAGTGTTTGGCCCTGTCCGAGACCATGGTCTTCATGATCTTCATGGTGGCCTGGACACCTTGGTTTTCCACGATGGCTTCCCAGTTTGGGCTAAGTGTGCCATCCGGTCCCGGCTCCGTCAGCTGAACCAGCATCCTGCCGGCCGACTCGGCCTCCTCATCCGAGTCGGATGCAGCAAACTTGATTAGCTTGGTCCAGACCGGCAAGTCCTTGTGGTCCAGCTTGATGAAGTATTCCATGATCTCTACGTACATCTTGAGGCAAGCCAGCTCGACGGCGCTCAGGTTCTGCTGGTTGACGTAGCGGAGGTCAGAGCCCAGCTCCACCAGGCAGCGGACTGTGTCCAGCTTGCCACTCTCCACAGCCAGCAGTAGCGGAGTCATGAGCCGGTCATCATTGGTTGGGAACTCCAGTTGGTCCTCGCTGGCGGCCACAAAGCGCTGGATGGACTTAATGTAGCCGTGGAAGGCTGCATTGTGAATGTGGCTCCAGCCACGCTCGTCAAGGTCATTCATGATGGCCCGCTCCTTGGCGAACTCGTCTTTATCTGATTCACGTCGCTGTCCTCTGAAAAACAACAGCAACAAGAACATGACATTTAACATATTCAAGCAAAGGGTGTGAAAAGTAACAATGGAATGATGTAGTAAGCGTCAGTTGCTTATGGTTTTTATACAGTAGCTTAGAAGATACTACAAAATACATCCATCTCAATTCAGAGTGGTCCATAGTTCCTCCGCACAACTGATAGATGTTGTCATTTTTGCAGCCATCATATCTGTGCAGTTATTAAGATTGCGATGGTAGGAGTTCCTTACACAGACATCACTCATTTTTCCCTAGTGGTGTATCAATATCAGCCATCAGAAGTGATAACGTGCCCTAAAATGTCAAATTTTAGCAGAGCAAATATGGGACTGGGAGTGTTTACAAAGAAAATACTTGGAATTTTTAGACCAGTCCCGTAGAGTTTGTGCATGTGAGATTGACAATAAGCATGATAAAACACTCTCCATTTCTGCAACACTTCAGACTCAGGTCAACTTCAAAATATCACTTATCAGGCCAATCCAAAAAATAGCGATTAGCGCCGTACCAGAGGCAAGATTACAGTGGGCAATAACAGGTTGTGATTAATGTGACAAACATTTACATACCCAAACAACGCCATGGCTTTAAACTCTCTTCAGATTTTCAAACAAGAATGTAGATATCGGAACAGCAGGACTCCATAACCGCGAAAAATTCTGTAGGCCCTGACCCTACTTGAATTGCCAGCACCATGCCTACATGCAGTACACCATGATGCACGCGTGTACAGTCAACCATCGGCCATATCAACGACGGCCTTCCACGCGCCGAGAGCAAGGATACAACTCTTTCATTAAAATCCATATCCTTTTCAAAAGGCTACAGCAAAGGCACAACACACAACGCAACAAATTTCATGACTTACCAAATCAATTATTCAGGCTGGGTGATTAAGGAACCCATCCGATCGATTTTCGCGAGTCTTGTGGCCCACTCGTTGCAGCCCCAGACGGGATCATCCTGCACTCACTACTCGCGCTGTATGTATATATGCGTCCAATCCGAAAGTGGATTATGTTAATGTAACTCCGCCCTCTCGTGGTAACGAGAGATATAGTCCCCAGTATCTATACAGGCACATAGAAGGGTATTCAGTGTACGTGTACGGGGAACAGACTAGATACCCATCAAAGTGACACATCGGCGTCTCATAGAAACGGAACCTGTCATTAGGGGAAACGTACATACAGGAACGACCGGTGGCGTGTCTATAATTAATGGTGTTGACACTACTCTTTTCCTCCGATAAATAATTCGTTGAAAAATTTGTTTCGAACTACTTTCATGGAGATAACATTCTGTGAGGAAGGTTGATCAGGTTGAGTAATAATTAAGAACTGGATGACCCTTTGTATTTTGTTTTTAAACATCAACGCATAACCATAAGTGGTGATGTAAAAATCTTTCAAACGTCTTTTTTAATCTTTTCAGATTTTTGTTGTAATTTTTTGTATCATGACATCTATTTATGGCAGATGAATCACTGAATTTAGCCACTTTTATTTCATAACCATTGTCACAACTATGACACTAATAGTAGGCCTACTGCTAACTTATTTTTTGAGGGTGTGTTTAAATTTCTGATTAGAAAAATAAGTTAGCAATTCTTATTAGAAACGTCAATTACTCTTACATGGTACAAATACGTCTATTTATATTACATAATTAGTATTTCAAGAGTCCCCCCAGACGTTTCCATTCAAGGTCACTTTTGATATCCCCCCCGGAAAATTATCCTTTCATTTGATAGGTCTGTTTAACTTGCTCTATTTTAACCCAGCTGTGAATGTCTAATCCCCCATTTCTTCATAAACTGTATACCCCTTAAACATTACCTGTACAGTGCATGCCTTGAGAATAGTCAACTTGTCCTCTGCCTGCAGCCATTGTACGACTGCAGTTGCCATAGGGCGCCCTCAACACCTCTACACGGTATACTGGTGATGTGTTTTATCAGATTCGGATTGCTTGTAACGCTGACCACTGACGGAGCTAGAAAAATGTTTTGATTGAAGCCAGGGGCGGTTCCAGGGGGCGTGGAGGGTGCACGCCCCTTTTTCACCCCCCCCCAAATTAATAAATAAATAAACTGAGAAGAAAGAGGGGGTGGGATCCAGCTGCATAAATGTAGCAAAAGTATTAAAAAACAGTTTTGCTTCCGGTTACCTAACCTCCCTAAATTTTATGGCCGCAACCCTAAAAATTTTAGTCTACGCCCCCCTTTTGGAAAATCCTGGATCCACCCATGATGGCTCGATGCGCTGACTCAGCAAACGTGTTCCACATGGTTCAATGCAAAGAAACCGATAACAGCCTGGGACACAAGGGAACAGAGATACTGGTATAACGTGAAACCCGAAAGACAGGTCACTACACAAAATTCTCACTGTGATTTTTTACATTAACATAGGGTTAGGATTGTCTTATTATTCAAACAAATTTTGTATATCTGGTTTGAAATATCCACGGTGAAAAAAGTGTAAAGATCACAAGAAAAGGGAGTATTTGGAGAAGTTTTTTGATTCCACAAAAAATGTTTTAGTGTGACGTCAAGGCATGTGCATGCATATGACATTTGTACGCAAATTTTGTGTACAAATTAAACCGGGGGGTTATAATATCGCTTTCTTCAATAAATCCTTTTTGGATCTCCCAAAGAAGAGGTCACCCTTCCTGCCACTTTTAAAAGGCATTCTGACGCGCAGCGGATGTGAGTTATATCATCAGGCAACATTATGGGTACTGGCCGAAGAATTATTGTTGCTGTTTAATACGGCAAAAATAATTTGGTCAAGGTTGTAAATATGACTCACATTAATCCATAAGGCTTTTCCGGGGTACTTAAAAAAATCACTGGAAATAACAACAAAAATACGCCCTTTATTGTATGTTTTTATACAATCGTTTTTATTACATATCACCCCTAACAAGAAAAAGTCGATGTGGGAGGAAACTTTCTCTCCATTCGTCATTTAGATCCTCCAAAACTATTATCAACTTTAACCCGTGCGCCCACCCTATATCTGCTTCTATTCAGGAACCGAAGCTTTAAAATAAAGTGAACCAATAGGCCCATTTTCCATCTGGACTAGGCACCCATATATTCTTTGGTCAGTTTAAGTTGCGCAGTAGAGTAAGTACATGTGGCATGGAAGTAATTCGGGAGCCTCATCCTATAGGGTACCTATTTCCTGGTGGTCCTACTCGAGGTTTTATTCTCCACGACCTTTCAACAATATTTTGTCCACAAAGTAATGGCTGGAAAAGTGAGAAGTATGTATATATAAACAGTCAAAGGAAAGCTATAATGAAACAGATGGAAACCGTGAAAACAACCTTTTTATACATAATTCGCTTCAACGATCGGCTAATTAAATTCATGATAAGATTCACCACGATAACCGAACAGATCAGCGCGACCGTTTTCAGGAGACCTCCTTGCCTCTCGGGGAGTTCCTCTTCTTGCGTGTTCTATCCTGCCCGGGGTCGTAGTGGACGAATTTATTGCCGCTTTGTCTGTTCGCTGACTGTTCGATGCTGGCTTTCCGAAGCAGGTTCTCCACCTCGCCCGCCAGCGCCTTCAGGGGCGTCCGGGATGAAAACCGCTTGAACGGCCTCCCGTCGTGGCCGATGAGGAACTTCTCGAAGTTCCAGCGCACGTCTGGAGACTTTGGCGGGAGCAGTCGACCCCGGAGGCTCCTGATGGTGGGGGAGCGATCGTCGCTGCAGCCGGCCAGCCTCTGCTTGAGGTATTCGAAGACGGGGTGGCAGCGCGTTCCGTTAACATCGCACCGTGCCATCAGGTGGAATTTAGGCGCGAAGCCCCGGCCAGGTCGCACGTGGCGCAGGCACAGCGGGATCTCGTGGTCCTCCCACGGTTCCCTGTAACCAAGCTGGTTGCACGGAAAGGCTAGAATGCTCAGACCACGGCTGTCGTAGGTACCAGCGAACTCATTCATCTATCGGGAGAAAAATACCTGCTACTGTCAAACAATATTCCAAGCACAGTACGTACATAACAACATTGTCAAAAGGGCACGTCAATGAGCCATTCTACACGCAGGAATGTACAACATTGAAGAAAAGAAATAATTACCGATAATTTGACCCTTTTATATACTCTTCAAGTTAAGTGCGCCTAACAGGCTGCCTCACACTACGTGAACCCAGGTCACGTAGCTCATGGGGGGGATAAATCATCATCAGTAGCAGCTCCTCGCCTATGGAACCAACTACCGCTACATATTCGAAGTTCTGACTCCATTCATTCATTCAAGACATCCCTGAAGGCCCATCTCGTGGCTCAGGCATTTAATTAGTGTTTCATTAATTTTTATTTGTTTATGTAAGACTGATTCTAGTATATGTTAAGTATTTGCATTTTTTTGTTATTTTTTCTGTGTATCTAGCGCCTTGAGCGCCTTTCATTAGGTGGATACGTGCGCTTTGCAAATCTGTATTATTATTACCCTGTTACAGTGAGCAAAACATATTAATAATCAAACATTCATATGTCTTATTCTCGGTTTCATTTCGGGGAAACCTTTGCCCTTAGATTTTGATATGAGGTTACTATGAGTATGTTACTAATTCACTTGTTTTTATACTAATTCCAAATATGCAGTGTGCTTGAGCGTTACGTCTTAAATTTCCAACACTAAGATAAACAACGGAACTAATCCGCGTACCCAGTCTTTGGATGCCATCGCCAGTTTGAAAATAATGTCAATTATTGTCCAGAGCAAAGATATTATTGTGAGCGACGTTCTTTGCTTATTGTTTATAATACTAAACAATTCAATAATAAATTGCACCTGAATTTACCTTTGGACCAGTTTAGATTAATGTGCCATGACATGTCCACATTGTCAATGTATCAACACCACTGAGGATTTCTTTTCAATGAAACTGACCCCCTACACTGGAGGCGCACGTGCACAGTCGGAAATTTGGTGCTGAATTTAATGGAACGTGACAACCTGTCCATTTTTAACTATCCATTAAAAAGATTTATCCGTCGTTACTTATGTAGCAAATCAATGCTCTAGAGAAAGTAGTGATTTTTGAAGACTTTAGAAAACTTTTTCTTACTGCCTATTTTGAAGGGATGTGAGAATCGAGGAAAGCCTTTTCCAGCTTTCCAGCTCCCAACAACGAATCTGGATTCATCAAAAAAATCCCCGTCTATTTGCATTGCATTGCTTTGTTTGAATTGAGTTGCAAGTTTTGCATTATCCAAAAACTGCCCAAAGAGGAATCACGTGACACGTTGAGGATGGAATGTCATGAAAATGAAAGCTGTCTCTAGATTTGAGTCGAAAAATGTTCAACTGTTGCACCATCTATTGTTTTAATTCCTGTTATTGGTGAAACAGTATCCCGTTGAAACCAGGGAGCCAGTCGGGAATTCTGTCAAAGAAACCGTAGTATGGATTTCAGCCAATTAAATTCTGGGATAACTAATGCTTCCCTGGAGTGAAGGTATGCAATAAAATTTGCATGACGGTCGGTGTCTGCTCTAGTTTTGCCCTCCAGGTGTTTCGAACGATTTCTTCATGCATCATCTCCTGTATACTTCAGCAAATGTGTCGATCACCATTTAAGAACTTAACTCAGCAAAATGAAGCATTATAATACTAAATGGCTTTTTTATTGTCATGTGTGCCAAGTTATTATTGAGACTTTTGGTGATAACACGCAACAGATACACGGAACTGAAATTTAGTTGCATTTGACCGCAACGATTTGCAGAAAGTTCAGGCCGTTTGTCCAAGTGGTTATTACTGCTTGTACCTGAGTGAATTCCCTGGTTGCATGCTCGTCTCCTGTGGCCACGTTGATCACCAGCACGACCCGTCCCTCGAACCGGGAGAACTGCACCATCCTCCCGTCCACTCCAAGCGCCGACAGCTCGTAGAAAGACCGGACTAAGGAGACGGGAACCAGCGTGCCGTCAGACAGGTAGTAGGCTTCCTCGTCGTCGCCAGCAGCCGTCTGAGGGTCGTCCACGCTCCTGTTGCTGGAACCGTTACAGTCGCTTGCTTGATTGGTCAAATCGTGGGCCAGGTCACTCGCCTTGATAGTAACTCGAAGCGAGTCCACGATGCCCTTATGTGGCTGCTGCTGGCTATTGTTTTCTGGCACGTTTACAGACATTTTGACTCTTTCTTTAAAACTTCTACCATATCTGCAGATAGTTTAGCAACACCTTTTAGCCGACACCATTTCTTCCCATTCCAGCACTGTACCTTCTGATCGATGGGTGCACACCAGTAACGCAGATTGATAACAAAACCCCCAGGCAGTGAAGTTCTATAACTACGCGGTCATCAGGCTAGCAACTGTTCTTTATCTTTGTGTACGGGTAGCAACCATATCACTTACTAGATATGAAATTTTATGGAGTCGTCGCACGGTTCAATTCGACGAGTAAATATTGGAACGGGCACAACATCAATAATATCGCACTATACCTATATCGAAAGACTTTAACCATGTTCATTTCAAGAGCACCACTCGACATTCAATTTGGCATTCGCTGTAGTCTTGTCAAGTACTGTAACTGCCCCAGTAGTGCAATGGGCAAAACTAAAGGCTCTAAACCACTCATGGGCAAACATGGATTTTACAAAAGACACTGATGTGAGGAATATTCGATTATCTTTTAAACGTATACACTGTACATACACTTGTGGTTTAGTTATGTGTAATCTTGAAAATACTGGTAAATACGGAGTTGGATCCGTCACCGGATAAACTTCATTTTGGACCGTATTAAATAGGCCTCATTAAATTCAAATGACCATCACAATCTCGAATTCAATACCCCTGCAATTTTGAACTTTTATCAAAAAGAAGTAATTATGTACATGGTAAGGCTAACTTCAACTTTATAGGTACTGTCAGCAGAGTTTGGAGTGAAATTAATGGGACAGTTTTGGAGTAAATCCAGCTAAAAACGAGCACACAACAAACAGAGAGATATCATATATAATTTTCGGGCGGAAGATCTCACTTAAAGGCTGCCTTCGCGTAACTAAGGCGTCTGCTTGTTTACACACTTTTTTGTTTTAAATATAATTTAATCATTTGCCAAAGTGCTTCCCTGTGGCAATAAATAACAACGTACTCCTTACGAGTGGTGATTTCGGATGAGCGGAAATTGCCAACCAAAGTCAGGGGCCGAACCTGTCTGTTATATTGACTGTATTCATGAGCCGCGGAGAAAACTCCTGCGTTGAACCTGCAGGCTAGCAACCACTGGTTTCTACCCGGACGGAGTATTATAGAAAGTAAGGCCTGCATTGTTCTACGTCTTGGCCAAATTCTTGCCAGCCATCTCCGAGGCGGGGTACAATATCCCCGCCCGTAGTTGACTGACGAACGCCTCGTGGGCCCCGTGCACCTCTTCCCAGTAGTCCTGCCGGCAGACCGCCTGCAACCACTCGGCCACCCGCGGCCACAGCCGTAGGGAGAACCCCATCCACTCAGCTTGCAGGAGCACGGTAGCCACGGTCGAGTCCGCCAGCGTCAGCGCATCACCGCACAGGTACTTGCCGGTGCCGGGGGCGAGGTAGCGCTTCTCCAGCCGCTCGAGGTAGTGGCTCAAGCGCTTTATACCGGTCTCGATCAGGACCTCATTGGCAGCCTCACCTTCCAACTGAAACTCCTCGAAGACCTGTGGGTAGGTGCAGCGGTACCCCACTATTCTGAAACGGTGCAAAAGTTTGATTGACTTTAGAATCAGGGAAAAGAGGAAGGAAAACTGTCCTTGGCGAACACGCTGCAACGTTTCGTAACGGTTTTCGGGTCATCATGTACGTTTGATTCTTAGTAATTTCTAAGGAAGGGCTTGGACCACCAGTAACAACCCGTGGTCATTTGATTTTGGTTGAAACTATACTCAGCAACTATAAACACACCTAGAGCATTGATATTAGGAGAATTCAGTGCTACCGTTCACAACAAGTGCAGATTCATGAGGATCTGTCAAGTCCCACCACCTTAACATCAGCCGTGTCTCAAAGATCTGTTCTTGGACCTGTGCTCTTCTCTCTACATTGCACCACTTGGAAAAAAAATCATCCTCAAGCATGGTCTACAATACCATTTCTATGCCGATGACACCCAAATTTATTCACCTGTTTCCATCCTGATCAAAGCGCGGCAGAAAATGCAGTGAATCATCTTGCATTGTGTTATGAAGATACGCGACTGGATGTCAACTAACTTTTTAAAATCGAATGATGATAAATCTGAATTTATCATCTTTGGTCAAAACAACAGCACAGCAAGGTTAACATTTCGCATATTCAGATTGGGGCTTCTTCTGTTAGTGATTCTCAAGTAGTGCGCCATGAGCATCTTTATGATGGATACCGGCGCATTATAAATATTCATTTTACTATTTATGATAATGATCTCTGCCAACAAGAAAAGTGTCCACATTTTATCAAACAAGAAATCGTTATGCGGTCAGATGAAGACACTCGCGAGTTTTGAGTATTTCCCTCAGGTTGAAGATATTATAGGCAAGTTAACTAGAGTCATATTTCACCTGTGTAGGTCGGCGTGTGCCCAGTTGATGACCGACTCGACTAGCATTTGCTGTGCAATCGTCTGACCGTAGCCCGCGTGGTCGGTGTAGCGAGTCGACAGGTACCTCAAAATCGCCGGTCTGAGAGGAAGATAAGAGAGTAGTAGGAGAGGAGTAACACATAGGGACACAAAGACCCTCCCATCGAGCTTTGTAAGTGCTGATGAAGGCCAATTGATGCATAAAATGAGACCACAAGAGGGGTCTCCTGTGAGAAAGTCATTTCTAGCCTGCACTTACCGGGAGACAAATTGTAACCAAATCTCGGCATTTAATACCAGAACTGGATTTTGATTTCCAAAATCCAAGACTGAATGCGCAACAAGGACTGCACAAGTGCAGACAAGCCTAGCCGTGCCGAAACTCGGCAAAATATATGCAACGATATCCTAAATTCTGCCAGTCCGCAAGCCAGACCTTAGCAGAAATCGCTAAGCTGGAGACACAAAGTTATAAGGTCGCAGTGCCATGCCAAGGAACGTTGCAGCCACATCAAATACCTTACCCCTCGAAGACCACAATCTCCCTGTCCACTAGCATTGGGACGTCCTGATGAGGGACATCGCTCGGTAAACCCGGCCGTCTGCCTGCCGAGTCTACCTCAGCTCCTGGGTCCACGTCCACTAACGTATAGGGGATCTTATTCTGAAAATAGAACAATAAACTCTGAGGTATAGGCCCTACATTAATTAACTGGGCTAGCATACTGTGAAAGTGAGATTTAAACTGGAATTAACTTACATTTTACAAATTTGTTATTTTACATCCAAGTTTGTAAGTTTGTTACACGATCTGTTGTTAATTTTCATTACATTAGTTTACATCATGCAATGTGTATCGTTAAATTGTAAGACGCTCCGTTCATTGAAAAAGTTTAAAGAAATTGTTTCTGAACATGTCTGGGTGAAACTCTGGTCGGGGACCTTTCTTCATTTTAGCCGAGACGATAACCATGCTGAGGAGTGTGAAGACGTCCGGTAAATAACCAGTATAAATAATGACGATACCAAAAAAAGTGTGGAAGAATAGAAACTGGAAAAGAATGGACAGTAGGTAGAACAGTCCACTGATTTGCAAATAGCCGGCCTTTAGCCTTGTTGCTAATTATTCAGCTTTTCTGTACACTCCCCTTTATTGCCATACGACAGCTGAACAACGACGCGAACACGAAATCATTCGGTATGTCAATATTTGATGATTCCATCCAATGAACAACCTTCTCTGCTGCTCGCGAAGAAAGTTGGCGGGGAGGGGGACAGGGTGAGTGTTTGCGTAAAGGCCAACAAATTTACTTATCTAGAGACTGAGCACGCGGGGAGAACAATTAAGGATGCACACACGGGCGGTAATCGGTAGTGGACGTGTCATAACCCCCCCCCCCCACACACACACACACATTTTTTTTGGGGGGGGGCATCATGTGTCCCCTCCAATTTTTTCTGACCCTAACTAGAAAGTGAAGGGGGAGTAAGCCTACATTTGATTTATAATTTAGATAAAAGTATTTTTAAACGAAATTAACCTTGCAAAAGCGTTTGCAAAACAATTAGTTGAACTGGTCAGAAACTGCCTCAAATCACAGCACAAAACATCTACAATTGAAAATTTCACGGGGCCCTTAAGCAGGCCTCAGACCCCATGCTGTATGGCTTGGCGCTTCGCGCTTCCTTTAGTTCTGATCAAGGCACTGTTCCCCCCCCCCCTATTTTTGAAGAGCGATTGACGCTCAATGAGCGGACCCTGAGCTGAGGTACATTGACGTAGTGATCGACAATGATGGACAGCATTTGGTAAAGGACAGCATTCCGGTAAAGTTTGTCAATTTCTTCCAAAAAGAAAGGAAAAGACTCCTCTCTCCACACCTCGAGATCTAAACTGAAAATGTTATGTTCGGCAATACACTTTGTCTAGCTCGTCCATCCGGGAGTCAAAAGGCAGCAGACCGGCAGCAATAAACTGCAAACAGATTTGTTCTTAAGTGTAAAATCATTTCACGAGTGTGTCACCGGCCTTCAACTCAGACAAGCATTCCTTTTTCTTCGTTTTCGTAGAATAATCTATTTGTCTTAAGGGGGACAAAATCATCTGTAAATTGATTTTGCATTTAATTATGTCCCAGTACACAGAATAATGAAATGAAATAAAATGAAATGAAAAGAAGGACTTCTTACCAGGAACTGAGCGGCAGGCTCATAAAATATACACGCAAAACCGGTCAGAGGTTAGGCCTACCCTTGACATTTATATGAAAAGACCTCAAAGAACTCAAGCCTCTTATCAAAGAATTCCGTACATGAGAGGAAAAATGTTTTTCACCAAACTCTCTTTACAAATTTACGCAGTGATCTATGAGGACGCACTGTTGTTTTGTTGGGTCTGGGTGCTTGCTGATGGATAGAGTCAACTGCCAAGGGCGGATCCTGGACTAAATTTTCGGGGGAAGCCCTTTTTGAGGGCCAATAATTCGGGAATTTTTTATGAAGCCTTTTACGATATTTCTGAGAGTAAAAGGCTCACTTTGAGGCTTTATGCACGCCTGGGGAAGGGAGGGAAGTGAAATAATCCATTAAAATGGACTTTCTCTCGTTCTTTTCCAAAAACAAACAGAAAATTAACCCCCCCCCTTGGGGGGTTGAATTGGTTGCCCCGTTTAGAGCCACAACACAAGTATGGCATATGGGATGCAAAGCACAGATCACTGTAAATGGGGAATTGTCCACATGGGACATGTCATCATAATACAAAACTAGATTGCTATTACGTTCACTCACCTGGGCAAGATACAGCCAGACTATCCTACAAGGAGGTGACAGCCGGATCAGGTATAGCGTGACTGGTTTCTCTGGCATCGATCTACCGTTCGTTTGGCTGGATGACCCCGCCGCGCCAGGTGTGACCTGCCGCTTTCTGAACAACGAACTCATCGTCCGTACGCTGTACAAACTCAGTGAATTCACCGTGTTTGTACGACGTTCCGTGCGCTCAGTCTGGTCAAATTCCACTGCTGAAGTCACGAACCTCCAACTGTAATGATAATGTTGTGTCGACTTGATTTATGTCTTACGGGGAGCCTTGCGGCTTTGGCATTGGTTTCCGGGGGAACGGGCAAAGTTTGGAAGACCTTTGCTTTAAACGTGAATATCGAGGTTGTACTTAGCCATAGGGCAATTTGAAAGGCAAATCCTTCACTCTATGTTTTCGTGTCCTTTCTGGGTGACCCTATAAAATGTAAATTTTATGTACGATTTTCTTCAAACTCATTGCCAAGCAATCAAGCAACACTGTGAACGAGGAGGGAGGTGTGTCTACACGTCTCCAACTTCGTTGGGAAATTCACACTTTTTAAGAAAAAAATGAACAAGCAATATCATGTATCATAAAATGTCAAAGCAATGTAAGGGAAAAGGGCATTACCAAGTAATGTCAACAACGTTGGACAAGTTCAAGGCCTGTCCAGACCCAGTCGACCCTGCAGTGGCGCAAGGGGGGGGTAAGGCCATGGGGAAGCATCTCCAGTTGGAGGACCCTACCCCCACCCTCTGCTCGGCAAATTATAGAGATTGAAAACATCTGATTGACCGTCTGCCTTGACTGCACCCTCCAGCTAGACAATGAGGGTCACCCAGGTGCCCTCATGCAAAACATGTGGCTCCATCACTAATTTATTACGCGCTATGATGCGGCAATGGACCCATTGATTGATCCTGGACTGACTCCAAAAGGTTTGAGCAATGGACAGAAATGGGAACATGACCAAAGAGCTAGAGAACCGTCGTACTCGACGCTTAACTGCCATCAACATACTATACATACGCCGGGCTTTGTCGGTCGAAGAGTTGTATACGTACGCGTGTTGATCATGGAGGAAGGAATACATGTCGCCTGGTGAAAAAGATTTTGGAGCTTAATCGAAAATATCACAGAGAGTGGAGCTAGCTTAGAAGAAGTACTACTGACCTTTCGTTCTTAAGCGTGGCTCTGTTTCAGCAAGATGCACAGCCCCTAATTATTGTTTATCGTGTTGGGCTGTCCTTTACTGCAACGCCCCTCTAGAAAAGCAGACACCATAAACTTCATGCACATTGTGAGGACCGGTATGTCAAGGTCGGGCTGCCAGAACTTAAAGCCACTATTCGCAGGTCGCCTGGAAAGGACTGCGATTTGTTTAGCCGTGGAAACGTGACTATAACACGGGTAAGCTGCTGTCGCCCTGCAGAATACACAAACTTTCTTTCACTCAGTCGGGCAACTTTTGTGATGAACACGGCTAACTCGATGACAGCGGTTTAACGTCTGCCACAAATCAGTGCCCGACTGAAACTGATTGTAAGCCTGCCTTGACGACTGCTCGTGCAACAACTTTGCATGGGCCACGGGACTGCCATCCACTTTCTCCAGTTGCTGTTTGCAAAGAGAATTGAGTAGCCAAACCAAACATTCTAGCCTGGAGCGCTCTAGCGCCAAGCCGTCAGCACCTTGCTGTGAAACGCCGACGAGCAAACACCACAGGCAGGTGATGAGTTGCCATGAAACTAGGCTTCAAGGGAACCAAAATTCGGGGGTGGGGGGTTTAGACATTTCTGTGTGTATTATTGATGGATGACACTATATTTGAAGGTAAATAAAACGCTTTAGGAGGGAAACAGCGGTCCTCTAAAACCGCCTTTCAGAAACCACTCCCCTTGGATGGATCCGGGGCAAAGGTAGACCTGTGGGTTGCAGTTCGAGCGGATTTGCTTGAAACAGTGGAGTACAGATATTTTGCTTAGAATCTTGTGGTCGTATGATTATTTCTGCCATGCTTTGCAAGACATCATCAGCAATTTACACACCACAAACAAAACAAGGGAGGAGAAACTCGGCAAAATGCTTTGATCCCAAACTACACTGAAATTTATTAGCACAAGAAAAAGAATTTCACCTTTGTCGTTAATTAATTTCAGTGCATAAACCCCAAGCTAAATCCAAATTCTACCGTTTGTTTCTTCCGAATGCAAAAGTAAAACAACACGTAAAAACAAAGCCAAAGACTGCAACATTTGACTCAGACGCGGTTTATTGAGTTGGAAAAAAGTTTTCAAGATGTGTTTATGAGATCCTGATTTCATGCTAATCGTTGGAAGAAAACAACTGTACGTGAGATTTTTTGCGGGGAAAAATAAAACTTTGGGGTTCTAAAATAACTGTTAACTTCAATGAAGATTTTAGAGGACCCTCTTTTCAGCCAGTGCCATCACGTACCCGTACGTGACTCCCTCCAAATAAAAAAAAAACTTAAAAAATAAAATACGCAATATAAAAGTGTCAAGCCAATGGCAACAGGCAAGTATCTTAGTTTAAGTTATAAAAATATGGTTTAAGTATCAATGCATGTACTTAATACATTGTACATGTAAACATTGATTGTTATGAAAACATCGGCTTGTGTGTCCGATAAAAACGCTTGTACACCCTAGTCGGCCATGGAGAATTTGAGAGCATTTTAGGCTCAATCGGTACACCAACTAATTTATTCCCATATACAGGTACTAGGATTACATATACACTACTGCTTTCCATCTTCTTTGTGGCAGTAAAAGGGGCTTTTCAATTTTTTTATTTTATGCTAATGAGGATCTCCATATTCATGCACCAAAGCGTAATGTAATTCAAGGCAGAGCTGCAGTGTCTCCATAGCTTTGTGCACAATCCATCATGTATTGTGATACATGCACAATGTGTAATGTATCACACTTTTTCCCACATTTTCTTGGAGTAAGTTCCACTCTATACTCGGTTTCCACGCTGAACAAGTTGTTTGGACAAGAGTAATGACCAGTATTTCTTCAAAACATTGTTGGTGGGTAATTTTCAGGTATCGACTTTGACAAGGAGTGCCTTGTCTGACGACCAGAGTTGTTTATAGAGAGAGTTGTGACATGAGTGCTTCATATGTTGGAACCCAAATGGCGGATGATGCGTCAGTGCACATGGACAATTAGCACAATAACCAGAGCTGTATATGGAGTAGCTCAAGCTTCCGGTTTTGGAAACAAAATGGCCATACATTGTGAGTACAGCAGTGCGTGCAAGTGCTCATGTCGCAACTCTCTCTATACACGGCTCTGCTGATACAAATGCTGATGAAAATGTCTTCTAAAGGCAAGTCCAGGCGGCGACTATAATTGACTAACACCGCCTGAACAATGGATGGTTTGGACTATCTAGTCAACCATCTGGGACCAGGCCCAGGGGGGTATGGTCGCACCACTGGTTATCAATAGCCAATTTCATTTATCATTATGGAGGGAACCGTTCACATTAAAATAATTGTACATTTCAATGACCATATACGCTATGAGAATCGCAGCCAATGATGACTTGTGAGTAACTGTGAGATTTTTTTAAAAATTGAATGACTGGGGTCATTCGAATGTTACTGAATTGGGCACGCGCGTTGTTACAAAGCAACTGCCCCAAGACTTCAAAAATTCCCTCCTCCTTTTCCCTTTCAATGAAAGCAGGTATTAAGATCCTCTTTATATTTAAAACACGAAGTAATACGAATGAAAACAAATTGAGCTACATATGGTATCTATTGCATGCTTCCTTTAAGTGTTGGCACATTCGATTAAGGTCTGAGGGGGGGGGGACCTGACATCCCCCATACACCATTTGGTTGGAGGTAGTTCATTCAATTTTCCCCAAGATTTTTTAATCTCAATCTTTGATGTTTCAAATTCTTCATGCTCCTTCAGATGCAGATTAATATGGCAAAATGTTTACTGTCAGTTATAACTTGTTTTATGAGGCCAGAAGGCTCCACTTTATGACTGACTCATTTCATTTGTACATTGTACTTATCATATGCGTAGTTTCATGATATATCTTTGATAGAGACGACAGGCTGAATTTCACTTCCGAACTGTAAACTTAGCTCAGTTTGATAATGAAAGAAAAATGTAAAAAAAAAAAAAACAAAATCTGGCCTGGTGTCATATATACCCCTTAAAGCTTGGGTCTTTCATTCCAATTCTGAATACCTGAATTGCGGTCACTCAGTTCTGTAATTTTGATATTTAATTCCCTGACTTTGCAAGTGCATTTTGTAACAGATAACTCCCTGGAATTAGAGGCCATTACTATGGTGGGTTTCCCATGCTTACACAAAGCTTGTATGAGTCTGTTAAACCATGCAGCTATAAAACACAACACCTTAAACAAAAGGGTGTCAGGGCCTGAGACAATGCCCATACACCTTAGGAGAACACCTCACTTTTGGTATCTCCTTTGGGTTAGTGCATGGTGTCCGTGGTGCAACTGGAACATTGGCATTATTCAGAAGTCGGCCATCTTGAATCAAGAGCAAGGCATTCCTTGTCATAGCTTTCAGAAAACTTTAATACATGCATGAGTGGAAACTGTGATATATGTAACGGGCTCAGTGTGATGCAATATCAACCTTTACTGTCAAAATATAAAAATAGGTTTTCAAAGTGAGGCTAGGTCTGCAAGTGTAATTCTGGCGAACAGTCAGGCTCCTTCCGATTTCAGAGTGTTCAACAGGTGAAGTGAATTCGGGGAACATGATTCAAAACGGCCATCTTGTGAATAAAGCCAATACTCTTTATTGGACCATCGCTAATCGAACAGCTATGCTAAAAATAACACATTATAATGGGCGGGGACAGCCAAAGCCATCAACCAGAAGGTCTTAGAGGAAAACATCTCGGTAGTATAGGTGTAATTTTTGCCCATAGCAACAAACCAGAACTTTCAGCCTACAGCATCTGTTTATCTCGAATCCAACACCTTCTAGTCCCACGTAACTTCTGAGACACCCAACCACCTTGACATGATACACACTAATGCTATGCTAAGACACTTGTCATTTCATTTGCTACATATGTTACAATTAAAACAAAGAAGAAAACATAAGGACAAACGAAAAACTTAAACACAGATGATTACCAGTTTAATGATGGACAAAATAAGAAATTTTAAATTGTGTCTAAACTGCTCGGCCACAGCTAGTAATGCAGCGAATAAAATCCATTCCCCTCAGGCATGTAAGCAACAGTCAGACACAGCCAAGTACCTGTGCATGTAGCTTGGACACAGCCTCATTAGCTCTGTTGTGGGAGGGTTGAAAACACATTGGCACTTCAAGAGTTGGACGTTCCGTTAAAGAGATGACAAGGGTAAAATGTTTAGCAGTGTTGCAGAAAGTCAACCTTTACAGTTTGGCGGTTGCACCAGGAAGTGACGTATATGAAAGTTTTGGTGCACTAGGAAGTGACGCACCATCTACAGACTTTGTACACGACGGTTCGTCGTGCAGCAACTATCCATGCTACGTCAGTTACTGACGCAACCAACAAGTTACAGCTGCACAGAAACAGTATCAACTCTGCGTTCACATACAGATCAACTACCTATGGTGAGAAAGACAAAGTTGATTGGATATTGTGAAAAGAAGATATGTGTGCCATGACAATTTTGACAATAGCTTATGTGATATTAAGTTACTTGGGTCTTGCAGCCAGATAGGATGTACTGTGCATTCCGATTTCTCATACAGTCATGGCACTTGCCACCATATCTACTTGTTTCCTTGATGGCCCAGTGTGAATCACATGGACAGTCTCGTTCGGGATTTCTTCTTCTCCGGAGTCCCGGGGTTCTCTTGTGACTCGGGCTTGGCAGGGGTCAGCTCCGGGTCGAGCACGTTGCCGGCCTATCGGAGAATGGCAAATGAGGAATTGATTACTGTCCCTTTTTAGCCAGAGGGTTAAAATCATTGTATCACTTACTCTGGCAGTTAAAAAGA